TCGATTTTGATCGATTTATAGACAGTAAGAATTTTTTTAATATTAGCTCTAGGATTTCATATTTAGCAAGATATTTTTTTCAGATGGTATAAAATGATGATTAAGATGATTAAAATAAGGAAGATGATGTCGAAATTGATTGAAATGTTGATGAAAATAATGTCTATTAAAAAATTTACAATATTGTAACGAGACTGACTTTGAAGAATGTTGCTAGAGCAGGTAATGTTGTTTGGATGATTTTGAATGAATGTCAGTTTGGATCAAAATTTTCAAAATTTCGAATTAGTTCTCGCAATTTGAAAAATTTAATATTTACTGTACAACGTTTATTCGTTTTTTAATTCAACTTATTTGTTATATTTTTAATTCAAATAATTTTGTTAAATTTCGTAAAATGAAGCAAATTAGTTACTGGAATCATATTTTTTAAATGTAAAAAAGTTATGCGTTAATTCAAGATCTAAAAACTAACTTGTTTGTTTAATAAATTTTAACTAGAATGTTGTTTAATTAAGATGTTGTCTCAATAAAATCTCTGCAGATATAAAAGCCTTGAGTTTGCTGCTTGTTGCAGACTCCAGAACAACCTCAACAAGTGCTCCATCAAACAACAACAACTCTTCAACGTCGTCGAAAAGCAAGCACATCAACAACAACAACAGCGACAACTACAACAAGCGAAACCACAATTTCAAACTAGCTTCGAGTTTTTTCAAACAGCCACGCAACAACAACAACTTGCAGAAGAATCAATCGAACATGAAACCAATAAGTTCACCGACGCTGGACAGAATGCACCCAACACGAACCAACATGGATTCCGGCAAACTGCCAGCCAAACAGAGTTCCGTTCCCATGCGAACGAGCAAAAAACGTTCGACACCAACACGACGAACCCCTCCCACTTGGAAGCCCCTGCCCGCCATTAAAGAGGTGGACGTCAGCAAGTCACCCGCCGAATCCCTGAAGCCACTGGATCAACGAGTGTCGTCGTTTCTCAGGAGAGAGAAGTTATCTCCCTCTCCGTTGCAGTTGGAACGGCGCGCAAGTGAACAGCAGCAGCAGCAGCATAAACACGACGACGCCCATGGACATCACTCGTTTGAAAAGTTGAGAGAGAACACGACAACCGTCAACATGCTGACAGGCGCCGCTGACACACCTGCAGAGAAGCATTCACCGAACAATCTCTACACGACGTACACGCGACGTATATCTTCACCTAAAACCGAACATCACTACCCACATCAAGATCATCGTCTTGAACAAAACTCGCCACTGCACCATCATCAACCCCACCATCCCTTCTACAAACAGCACAAGCAACCTCAACACAGTCCCAACATCCACCAGCACATCAAACGACAACAACTGAAACAACAACGACACCGTGCTGAGTCGTCGCCAAAACGTCATCAAAGACACTCGCAGCAGCAACAACAGCCTTTATCAATGCAGCAACAACTACAGAAGCAACAACTACAGCAGAAACACTTGAATCAACAACTGCAGCAGTTAAACCGTCATGAACACCAAAAATATCTCCCATCATTTCAACAGCAACCGATGTATTATACAGCCGCACCGCCGGTTCAACAACCATTCACTCAAGATGGAGTACCCTTACTCCAACTGCCACCAACCAACTTCAGCACATCCCCCGACACGTTGCCCTTCACGAGGACTTCCTCCCGACATCTCTACACCAACGAGTTCTCTCCAGCCGACACGTCTTTCCAACAAGACCAACAACTACTTGAACAGCAACGACAGCAGAACAACTTCTCAGGGTTCGACTCTCAACAACGCAGGAGAAGGCACTTTAACCTTTTCTCATTTGATAGCGACGTGGAGCAAAGGGGATGGCTTCAAACTGTTGAGAGCGACTTATGCCCTCCAAAATTCCAAAGGATTTGTCTCTTCACGTCCATACTGCTCCTAACACTTGCGATGAACATTTTCATTCTGATATGCGGCGACGAGCACATATACAGGGAGGCAGTGTACGTCTGGATGAATAGTCTTCTGTTGTGTCTCTTCATTCACGTGGTCTTCGGTGAGGTCATCAAGTGCATTGCCATTGCCTTCGTCTGGACGTACCTGAATAACGATTTACTCATGTGATTGCTGGTCAGTTGCTGGTCAGTTGCTGGTCAGTTGCTGGTCAGTTGCTGGTCAGTTGCTGGTCAGTTGCTGGTCGTTGCGGGGATAATAAGATAAGATAGAAGATACTCTCCAGAAATACACAAAACACACACGTAATGAGGATTGGTGATGATAATTGTGATGACGATTGTGATGAATAAGACGATGACGGATTGGGGAAAATGTTGTCGACATGTCTATTAGCAATAATATTATAACATCACTTTCTTACAAAAAATTGCGAATATGTCTCTTTGCGTTAATACGCACACACTCCACACACACACACACACACACACACATATATATATATATATATATATATACACACACACGTACCCGCACACATGCACACACACACACAGACAGGAAAAAGAAGGCAGCTAGCCAGCCAACCAGCCATCAATCAGTCATTATATTTTCCATCAAAATAATTGCCTCGGGTTTTGTTTACTTTCTACAAATTTATTATTTCATATACATACTATTATTTGTTCGTTTACTTTTTATTTTGTTTTTTTTTAATAATTTTTTTCTAGTTTATTACTGAATAAGGAATATGTCTTAGCGGACATAGTAACTTTATTCATGAGAAAAATTGTTACATTGTAATTGAAGTTTTACAATTTACACACAAACACACACACATACAAATACACACTGACATACACCTAAATACACAAACACCCTCATACACACAAACATACACACAGACAGACAAACACAAACATGTAAATGTATACGAAAATGTTTTACGTATGTGTGGCCGCTTTGTGATATTATAATATAATAATAATTAATAATAATAAGAATTAATAATATTATTATAATTTTGTTTATAGAGCGATGCTAATGAATAATATTGGCCATACCTTCAGATAATTACAAAACCAATAACTTCATTTCATTTAATTAGGCCGGTAAACTTGCACTGCTAATGGGTCACATGGTTTTGATATACTTCTGTACAATCAAAAAGCACTCAACATTATGTAGCCATGAATTGAAAATTATGTTAATTTGATAAAAAAATCTATAGAGTTGATTATTTATTAGCTAATATATCATATATATGGCCATTATTATAATGTGAATTAACTATGGATGTCGAAAATGTATGTAAAACTGAATTTAACGTTGAAAGAGTTTATTGTTTTAAATTTTGAAGTTTTTTTCAACCTTGGTTTAATCAGTTTTTAGTTATTTCTTCACAATTTCATAGATAAAGGTTTTATGTTAGTTAGGTTTCAGGTGAGATTCAATGGAAGTTTTATGAAAAAAAATTGTTACTACTTAAATTTTGTGAAAAATTTACATTAAGAATGTACAACAATGACAATTCAGCAAAAAAATTAAATAATATCAAACACTCATATAGAATAGCGTTTAATGGCAAATCATTTTCTCTATATTTAAAATTTTAAAAAAGTAATGCATGATTTTATAACTGAAACCTCTCGTTTCAAATTAACTACATCGTTACTAAAAAATATTTGTTCTAAGACTAAAGAAAAACTAATCAATAGAATCATAATAAAATAACGAAACAAAACACGCAACCAGCAACACGCAACCAGCAACACGAGCGAATTGATTCAATTAGTGCCACGTGAGAAGATTACAATTTGAAAACACGTTGCGTAGTGTTAATAATGTTGTAACAATCATGGTATCATTAATCACTTTTAATTAAAGCTGATATAAACAACACACACACAGACACACATAGATACACACACGCACACACACACATAGAAATAAATATAATAGTGAACTAATAATGGAATGCATGTTGTTATATGAAATGTGAAATTTAAATTATTAACAAGACGAAATAAAACTATGAAATCAATTCTGATCCTAAAAATTTAAATATTATTAAAAAATCTAAGTTGATAATAATGAATTAATCAAGAAGGTGAAAAAATCAAAAAGCCAAAACACAAAAGCTCACAAAGTTATTCAACCCTATTCATTTTTTAAATCCTGAAATAGCTTAAAACGAAATTTTTAAATAAAAAAACCTCCCAAAAATTTCGATTTTAACAGATCGTCATTTCAACACACACACCAGACACACACACACAGAAATCCACACAAATAACACGCATACACACACGCACGCACATACAAATCCACACCAATAACACACACACACACAAATAACACACACGTACCCCATACACACACACACTATACAGACACACACACATATACATACACACACTTCACATGATGCATATCGATTGGTGTTTACTTGATGTTTTCATATATTTCAGTGCTGTTTAGAATATAATATAAAAATTATTTCAACTTAATTTTTTAGGAATTTAGCGGTTATGTTCGAAAATCGCCAAAAAACTTTCAAACAAAAATAAACAATAAACAAACAATCACATAAACAAGCAACACACCACAGTCGAACAAACATACAAATTCCACTTACAAACATAAAAACATACATACAAACAAACACATACAAACAACAAAACTTACGTCTTTTGACCAATAATATTTGGCTTAACCAAATTGCTGCCAAGATTCGGATCAATGTTACTATATAGTGCCACATTGTTGTTGTTGCTACCGCTGTTGTAACTTTTCTCAGTGGCTGGCTTTGCTTTTTTCATCTGCGAGTTGTGAAAAACGCATTTTATTAAAAAAAAATAATAAAATCAAATCAACAGAATTAAGCGAAACGTTTGAGTATATTTCGATGCGGTATTCTGAAAATTAAATTTTAGAGATTTGTTTGAAAATTTTTTGATAACATATACACGCACGCACACACACACAACACACACACGCACGCACACACGCACACACACATACACAAACACACAAAATGAATTTTAACGTACGTTATATTTAGTAACGTAAAGAAGCACGGCTTTGTACACGAACGTGTATTGCTTCTCCGTTTGCACCAATCCCGCCCGCTGATTTCGAATATCCATCAGGAGTTTTGGAATGTCTATGATGCAGCCCAATCCTGGAAAAGTTTTATTTTGTTTGGCGTGTTTCTGTGTCGTCGTCGTTGTTGTTGTTGTTTGGCAGGTAGTTGTTGTTTGTGTAGTTGGCTAGTTGTTGTTGCTGCTGTTGTGGATGTTGTTGGTGCATCTTGCAACAACATCATTGCAACATCATCCAAACAAGACAACAACACACAACTTCAAAATCAATATCAATTTACAACAACAACAACATCAGCAATAGCAACAACAACAACAACAACATCAATTTACATCCTCAACAACGACAACAACACCATCAATTTACAACAACAACAGCAACAACAACAACACCATCATTTTACAACAACAGCAACAACAACAACAACATCAATTTACATCAACAACATGAAGACACCTTCCCGATGTATTTGGTTGATGATGAGGTCAATGAGTATAAATGTACCTGTCCTCCCTATGCCGGCACTGTTGTTAAAAATTTCAAAACGAAATCACAAAATGAAAGTTGATGTGTTTCTTTTGGAAATTTACTCATAAGAAACTGTTCTATATTTCATTTGGGAGATAATTTCCCCTTTCTGAAAACAATCTAAAAGTTTGCTACATAAATTTTGCAAATGTTTACCGGAAAATATTTCAAAATAAAGCAAAAAAATGCTACACCAACCTGCAATGAATAAGCCAGGGGGAGGATTGATTATTTTGCGATATCTTACCCGCCTGCCTGTTGATCTCCAACACAAACTCCACCACCCCAGTGGCATCTTTGGGAGTGCACTTGTCGGGCCATTTACGGTGATGGTACTGGTAAACTGTTCGTTTTTGCTGGTAGGTTATGTTGGATGGTGTTGTTGGTGGTGTTGTTGTTGATGTGGGTGTTAGGTCTGTTGTTGTTGTTGTTGATGTTGGCGTTGTTGGAAAAAATAGTGTTGCTTTTGTTGTTGGTGTCGTTGTTGAAGAAGATGGTGCTGGTTTTGCTGTTGGTTTTGCTGCTGTTGTTGTTGATGTTGGATAATGTTATTGGTGTTGGCTGTTTGGCTGGCGTTGCATGTTATTGTTGTCGATACAAATGTTGCAAAATCTGTGCGGTCTCGATAAAGGAAAGATATAAAACATGTAAAAAAAAGTTAATAACACAAAACAAACGTTATTATGGAACAGCGTGAACACACGCAAAGTGTAGTCTTTGTAGTCAGTAGACGATTCTGTGGTAACCGATAGTGGTCCTTTGTACAGGTCGACCATTAGAGGTTCCGCTGTTTCTGACCAATACAAAAAGCATTTGTTCTGTTGAGGTTGAAGTTTTGTTGAAATAATATAACCCAATTACAATTTTTATAATTTAAATTGAAAATATTATATACATTTTCAAGTTTATTTTGCATTTTATTGCGCAAGACAGTCTGTTCATTCAATCATTCATCCAGTCAACCAACCAACCTGCCAAAAAGCCAACCAACTAACAAATCAATCATCCAACCAACCAACAAACCAATCAACAAACCAATCATTCAACCAACCAACCAGCCAACCAATCAACAAACCAATCATCCAACCAACCAATCATCCAACCAACCAACCAACCAACCAGCCAACCTTTCCGTTTTCAATCAGTTCAGTAGTCATGACGATGATGTTGACATTTTCTTGCCAGACCATGTTCCAAAAATCATGAATGGTCACCTTGACACAGCCCTGACAGGCTATGTAACTTTTGTGGATGTGTGGTAGTGTCTGTCTGGCCTACACAACAAAAAATGGTTCCTTAACTTTATTATTATATTTTAATTATATTAATAAATGTGATCAAATATTTCAGAGTGTCCCCCCAAACCAACATTAATGTAGTTAGCGTTAATGTAATCAGAGCCTGGTTCAGACGGGTTGACGTTCAGTAACTTTACCCTCGTATCATCATCTGAAATTTAAAAATTTATTTACAAAATCATTATTCTATTAACTTATTTTAAAATGATTTTTTATTTATTTGAATTTTACTGCCGCGTTCTCTTTGAAACATCGTTCTCATCGGTATGATGACGCTAATTCTAACGATGGTAAAAATAATAAGAATTATGATGGTGATATACTTGATACAATTATATAATAATAGTGATAAATATATGTTAACAATTTCTGTCACTAATTACGTATAGTTTTTGCTGTTATAACTTATAATAATTATAATATAATTATAATAATGTTTAACGGCAATTATGAATTGAGATCTCCTTGAAAGTCGAAAGATAATTTGCTAGACTACGTCTTGTCTCAGTGAACATTCCCTCTATTATTAAAATAATAATTATAACAATAATAATAATAATAATAGAAACAATAATAGCAGTTATAATTATCATTTTTATTTCTGTCTTAGTAAAAAACCTCCGTCCCAAAACCAGGAGTCTGGTGCTATGTTGATAAAATGAAATTGTTCCAATCTTAGCATTTGTTTATAAGCTAGCTGGCAACTTGATTGACTCTTAATTAATATATTAATTAATAAATTGATTATAATAATACAATTTAATATCACCTATATATTATAATATTTAAGTAGGTATAGATTGATCAAGCATATATTAATTAATTACCTAACTTATTACGGAAAAAACGGGAAATTTTGTTAATAAAATGAATTTGATGATTGTATTAATTGTTAGTTTAAAAATTAACAAGCTGTTTATATTTAATCGGTATCGTAAAATATATAGCTAGATTGAATGAAAAACTTGTAAAATTTTTGAGTAAGAGATTTATTTAAATAAAAGAACAAATAAATAAAAAAACAATAAGAGAAATGGGGATAATGTGCAAATTTTTTCCAATTAAACGATCAACAATCTAAAAAAATTAATTTTGTTTGAGTTTACTAACAAGGCAGTATATTTCTGTAGCGGTTTTTAACTTTATTCTCGGGTGCGTAGCCGGCTGTCATCGGTTTGTTGCTCGCCTCGTTGTGCTCCATCGTCTGCACATGCTATTTCGATTGTTTTTGGGTTATTTTTTGGAGATATGTCACATTATTATTGAATTTTTTTAATTTTTAAATAAAAATCAAAAGTTTTGGCCGGTTTAAAAATGAATATTTTTAAATCAAAAAAACCTCAAATTCCTCCCAAAACCCGTTCCTCTTTTTGTCTCTGTCGTCAAATTCCTTTTCAAGTTCTGCAATCTTGGATTCCAGGTTTTGGATTGCAGTCGCGCCAGCTACACAAGACTGATATGGTAATTAATTTATTAATCTATTCATTGTTTGCTTATGTATTCGTTTGCGATTTTATTAATCATTCATGATATGCATTGTACATTACCTTTCCTCGATGAAATTATTTCAGTATATATATAATCTAGTCATTAATGTTTATTACTTTATAAAAAATAAAAAAAAAAAAAAAAAAAAAAACTTCAGCAACCTTTCATGTTTGTTTATTTCATGTTTGTTTAGAAATTTAAAAAAATTGAAAACATTTCTTGAAAAACCTTCTGCAGCCTAAAAGAGTAATTGTTGTTTTTCTTAAACATGACGACCAAATCGTGAGTACGATAGTAGTCTACGAGTTCTGTCAGCGACGGGAAGCAATTCAATCCATCTCCAATACTGTACAATCCTTTCTGGAGTCGTGAATGCAACAGGGATAAATTATTCTGATTCTAATTTATTTCATCAAATAATTTTTTTTTTATTTTATTTAAAAAAAAGAAACTTTGTTAAGAGAGAAAAGAATTATTCACACCTTCTTGCTGATGATGACGTGAATAACATCGTGATCCTTGTTTAGATAGCAAAGTACGAACTGGCCAGATTTTTTGGAACTTTCGCGAATGAGAAAAGAGCCTTCTTTCTTCAAGTTCTTCAACATAACTTCCGATTCTGTACATGTCAAGTTTGCGTGAAACCACCTATGAAAGACGAAAAGTTATTTGTACAACTCATTTTAGTCAAAAAAAAGTCTAAACAATCATGTTTGTTTAGTTTCATGTATGAAAATATTCGATTTCAGCCAACAACTTAACCTTTCCCCGCGATATTTTTGCGCGGGAAGTGGATTTTCAAGATGAATAACTTTTCCGTTACTTTCCCTCAGATTTCCTCTACCTAATCCATTCACGTAGTAATCTATCAGCTGTGGTAAACTGGCAAACTGTTCCCCGCCGTAGAGGTCAATGAAGTCGTCGGTCTGTTGAATTTTGATGTGGATCACTTCGTCATTTCTTCTGACTGACAGTGTGAGATGATCTGCACTGGATGAACTTGGTCGGATGAGGAAGCTGCCATCTCTGCCCTCCGTCATCAGAAGTTCTGAAGCCTCAACTCCAGTGATGTTCCGATGGATGCACTTTAACCTTATATTTAAATTTTAGTTTGTATCTTAATGTAGCATTTGCTAACATGATCTAAATTCTTGTACAATTAGTTTGAGTAAATTTCACGTTTATATTGTTTCATTTGTTAACATTTAAGCTGCAATACAAAAAATGTTGACGCAAATCTACGAAAGTGAAATATAATTAATGTTAATTAACGTAAAGACAAGCCAAAATTTTACAAAGCTGTCACTCGAAGTTTTGATTATTTTTGTTTAAAATGACAAAACTTAAAGAAAATTTATGGTTAAAAAACACATATTTTGGAAAATCAAACAATGATTTAATTATTTATTCGTAGAGGTTAACTCCTAAAAGTTCTTCATCACCACGCAAATTCTAGCAAAGTAGAAAGAAACCAAAAAATGATTACGCTAATCAATAAACTTCTCACATTATCACTTTATACAGAGCACCAGGCTTAACTTTATAGATCGAGTTAGTTTGATTTGCCTAGCTAGCATTTGGTTTACAACATACTCAGTGGTGATTCAACCGTTTATGGTACAGAATTTCTATAACAAATAAACTGTACTGACCTAACCTATACAAAGAAAACAACGGGCGAACACATGGCTAGAAGATAAAAAAAAGTTTGTTTCCAACGTTTAGTTGTTTTTAATTAGATTATTACACACAGGCAAGTCGCTTTACCCATATCATTTAATGTGTTAAGTAGCGAATTCGAACATTTTTGTAAATGTTGATCCCATTTTTTTCTAAACTCCGGTTAAACTGTCAGTATTATCTCAAATACGGTACAAATTTAGTCATTGATTTCTGCACGGTCGTTTGATAATTTTTTATTGAAATGCTGACCAAAAAATATTTGAATAATTACGTTTCCGTTTTTAATAAAAAACAATAACCCGAAATAACACAATTTTTTTTCATGCTGTGAGGAATGAACAAGTGTCACATTGATAACGGTAAACAACTTTGGAAACTAACGCTTGTGATGACATGATCTGTATAGAGCTATAGGATGGAAATAAGCACTAATATGCTGCAGTCTAAATATATGCAGTACTGTCTATTATATCTTGGATGGGTCAACCGATATTCATTTTATTTTAAAATAACTGTCACTTGAATATAAAGACAAACTAAAAGTCAATGAACTTTCAACTAGTAAACAAACTTTATTAAAAAAAATTAGTTTGAATGTTAACAACGGCAATTGTAATAATTATTCCCCGACAATTAAATATTTCAATTTACTTTAATATTTAAGCTTAATTAGCCATTATCTGCCTTGATATTATTAACAACAGCAGTTAAACTTCCTACTTCGCTTAATACGCTTGTAACGTAAATTAAACAATACGTGATGTGTGTGAGTTGCTTGTTTGATCAGCACTAAAAACATATTTAATTACTACTATATATGGCATACATTAATGATGGTGAATCACATTTGAGCTGATATATATTAGTGCAATTTGTATATATAACATATTGATGTGTTTATATATGACAAGCATACATAAATTATAATAATATTATATAATAATTATTATATATCATATGTATATATACATACATATCGATAGATATACAACTAATTGTTCTACAATGTGTGCCATATAAACTGGCAATCTAAACCAGCCTGAACAATGGACTTCAGGCTGGTTTAGATTGCCAGACAGACTTCAACTTATATACACACACACACACACACATACACATACACACACACATACACACAAATATCTTACGTCAAACTCGATAAAAAATCATAGTTCAATAAGAAAATTATATAGTTAAGTGGTGTGCAAACAGCGTAATAAAAATATGATACAAAGGGAAATCGAGGCATGCCTGAACCTCAAAGTTCTTAACAATGCCGATGCTTTTTTGAAATTCTTGTCCAGTACGATACAGATATTAAGGATATTTAGACCAGAATGGAACGTTTAGATTATTGTAAGACTACCTAAAAAACTTGTTTGACTATTATTACAACGACTAAAATCTTGCAGGCAAATAACAAACCATTACAGTCTCTTTGCGAAGTTTTAACTCGAGAAGAAAATGAAATTTTGTGTTGGTCAGAAAGAAATGAATGAACGAACGACGTTATTGCCTTTACATGGGCACACTAACTGAATGTTAAATACGAACAGTCTTGAATTTGTTCCAACATTTTGACACCGATATTATAAGTTTTTTCCACTTCATCATCAATTATAGTTAGCTGTCGACCTCAATGAAATAAGATTGTTTTTCTTTATCAATACTTAATATGAACGAGTTAGAATAAAATCCTTTTAAAATAAAACGAAATCTATAAATATATAAGAAAATAATACAAATAAAACAAGAAGCAATTAGATATCACAGTTTTCTCGCACTGATTTGAAAATTTTCTTGGAATTCTCAGCTAAAATAAAAAAAAACGAAAAATTCAAAAGTTATCCAAAAAAACTGAAATTAATTTAGTCACGAAACTAATTGTGAAACTTGAAAATTAAAATAATTGTGAAACATTAATGAAATCATCCCGTCACAAAAGCAACCTTTAACGTGGCAAACTTCGGCATCCAGTCCTATACTTAGCAGGAAATCCAGCCAGAGAATTTGCTTGGAGGATAATTTATCACCAGGACCTTTCACTTCCGCAAACTTTTTAGAAGAAAAATTTTAGACAAGTAAAAGATTTTCGTGTTAGATGATGTAAAATGCAGTAAATTTAAAGCACATGAGATGCAAAAAAAATTATTTCTCAGACCTAAAATCTAAAAAAGTGGAAACCTAATTTCCACCTTGACACGGCGTTGGGAGGGATTCCAGACGATAAGATCAGGCACTCCCCCAGTGACGTACCTCATGTTTTGAGCCATCCTCATGAATATGCTGGACAACTTCTCGGGCCCAATACTTCTTACAAGACCCTGTGCAAATGTGCATTAGTGGGAAAATTTATCTATCGCAATAACAAGGTGTTGTATACACAAGTTGGCTGGCTTCATTCGTTGCTTATTATTTTTATCCGTTCGTGTTCGTTCGTTTGTTTGTTTGTTCAATCATTTATTACTTTCAAAAAAGCACACAAAAAAGATAATACAAACAACACAAGTTTATCTGCAAATGATTATCTAATTGATCTTGAGTTGTGTACTCATCATCATATGACCTACCTTGACATGTTCCACGCCAGTGAACAGTTCCCAGTTAATCCAGGCACATATCACTCCATAATTATCCGACCAACATTTTTCTAACATTTCATCCAGTTCCTAAATGGGGCACATAGATAAAAAAATATTATCACCATGTAACTGGTGAGAGCAACAATTCCTAAGAAAAAAAATAGAGTTGTAAAACCTCCAACAAAACATCATGATGAGCGGAGATCTCTGAATTTGAACACGGTCACTGGATAAGAAAGCTAGGTAATGCTTTCAACTATTTTGACATTTCACCACCACTACCACCACCGCCACGAAATAGAGCATGATAAAACATCCAAATCAGAACCAATCATCTAGATATTTAAACAAGACACCCAATACATCGAAATAAAACAACACAAAGTAGCAGAACATCGCAAATATTAGCCACCTCTTCAGAAGCATGGGATATCCACTGATACCTTTTATGAAATTTTTCCTTTCGTTTTGGGTAGAAATCATGTGACCTGAAATCTAGGGGGGCCATTTGGAAGTTGTCGTAGAAGACGTCAGGTATCGACGACATGAAAACAACATCCCACGACAGCAGCATGAATAGTGTCGTTAATGTTATCCCCTCTCCATGTATACCTGGATATTTTGAAATATCATCATTAAGTCAGCCACCATTTTCACCATAGTACCATCCTTATATCCATCAACATAAAATAATAATCGGTAAACAACTCCTCCACTCATATTACCGACAAGATCATCACCAAATTATCATGAAAGCACAGCAGACCTTCTGGGTAGCCGATAGTAGCATAGTAATCAAGGGCAACTTGTTCCACCCTACCTGCAGTCATCATGACGTCATCGTTCTCACCACCCCCGCCACCCTGGACGACCCACATAGAGGGCGCCACAGCGTTAACTTTGAAGAGTTGCTGCCCTGTTGTTGTGACCTGAAATATGAAATAAAAAAAATTAAAATTAGAGCATTTTAAGCTTGTAGTAGTAATTTTACTTGGATCGTTTTGCCAAAATCAAAAATGAAAGTTAATTCTCAAAAATGTAATTCACGTCTGCATACATGAAACAAACAAAAAATACAAAGTAAGATAATTAAAAGTTGAACCAGAAAAGTTTCTAACATTGAGAGGGGCCTGTATGAAGTTCATAACATCAATCGCTATCATCTCACGCATACTTTCTTGAGACCCCTCAGCAAGCTTCTTACTTTTGGACGCAAGAATTTTTTTTGCTCGGTGCAGTAGGTCCAATCGGTGGCCCACCTTCACCCAGGGGTCATTGAGGGCCTCCTTTATGTAATCCAGTGCCTACAAAAAATTACGATTAATGATTTTAGTTACAACTTTAAAATGTTTTTTATGTGGTGAATCATGATGATTAAATTACAAAGGTTCAAAATTTCTTTAGAAGTCTAAAACATCCTAAATCTTTTAACAAACTAATTAACCGGCTTTTTACATTAACAAAAACTAAGTAAATATCTATACATTCTCCTCATTCACATTATCCACAGCCAACCAACCTTTGTAGGGTTTTTCAGATGAAAATCCAAATTAAGAGTAATTCTATCAAACCAACGACCCCTATAATCTAAATGATAAACTTCCTGGTTCAACAGCTGGCTCAGCAGTTTAACGGCATCCTCATAACGCTTGAGGAACTGGAGAAGACTGACTGCCTTGTTTAGGATTCTGATGTATGCCGAAGATGCTGTGTAGCATCTTAAGAAGGCCGGGAGGGCTCTGTTGTGCCTGAAAAATTTTTTTTTTTATTACACATCATTATTTTAATTATTAAAATTTATTATATTATTATAAACTAAATAAATTATTTTATATATAAATATCAGAATAAATTATTTAAATTAATTCTTAAAATCTCGAATTCAAAAAATTTTTTGAAATAAGCTGATGCACTCAGAAGATACAATGGAGATTAGCATGGCAATCCTAGGTTTGACATTGAAAATTGAAATTATTACTAAAAACTAAAATATGCTTATAATACATTACAAATTAAGTATTAAATCTAAATTATCAAAAAATCTGACTTTGTAACAATCTCATCATTCAATGAATAGTCTTCAAATCTGTGTCTAATATCTGTATACACTTTTAGAGCATCTTCATAGCTTTTTTTCTCCATTTTGTGCCAAAATGTCGACTCGTGTTCTAGAATCTCTTCATACCTTTAACAAATAAAATCAGAATAGAACAAAATTTTAAAAAAATATATCATGTTATAACAGTTAATATAACATAGGGTTATTATACAAGCTATATAAATAAAACAAGCATTACAAAATGTAAACTGTATTTTAATCAAGTATAAGAATAATTTATGAAGTAAAAATGAATATAAAACAATGATGATCGAAACTGAAGTTAATAACTCTCATAAAAAAATCATTTGATACAATATAAAATCGAAATTTCGAAATTTAATCAGAATACCTAATTTTAATATATTATCATAATAACAAATGTATTGAACATACATTAACAAAACACACGCACACACACACACGCGCGCGCACAAACACACTACACACACAAACATGCACACACACACACAAACTCATATACTAACATGATCAAATCATTCTTAGATTGAAACAATTTTGTAGTCCTGTTGATGTTATAATCAGGGTATTTTACCTTTCCATTGGACGTTTGTAGCATTTGGAAACTGAATAGATTAAAATAATGTGAATAATTTTAAAACCATTTATTGAAAATTTAACTAGAATTTAAATTTTTTAAAATCAATCTGATAAAAAATGATCTTTAAACAACGAGAATTATTTTAAGAACAACGCTAAACCAAAAAAAAAATTAAAAAAAACTGAAAAGCTATGTTACCAACATCATCTGTTGGGCAGATAAATCATCATCGGAAAGAGTGTTGTTGAGTGAAGAGAGAATGAGAATCCTCATAAAAGTTGACCTCCTGACCTTATTCAACTTATAACAATGCCCCAATATTGATTTGGCTCTGTGTAAAAACAATAAAAACAAACATAATTTATGAGACTTTCCATTGGCTTTCGATAAAATACTTATGACACCAAATTATTTAGAAATCTGTCATGGCAAAACATAGATGAAAACTATAAATGAATGACTTAGTACAACCAAGTAAACCTTAATAGAACAACATTTGGCAAGCTATCATCACCAACAGCAGTTCTTTTGAAAAAATTTTTAATTGAATTTGTCTTGGAATGATTAATAATGGCGGCAATCAAATCACTTTTTGACGACACTGCATCCAGTCTCAAAGATTTGCATAAGGATTTCAATTCAGGTGCAAGTAGACATTTCAAAACTGTATTTAAATCTGTCAGCTTTGTCACTGAAAAAGAAAACAGTCAATTTTTCTAAACAAAATGCTCATACAAATTCTTAAATCTTAAAATGAAATGTACCATCATCAATGAGACCCAGCAAGACTAATGAGTCTAACACATCTATCAAGTTTTCACTGATGTCATTGTATTTTATTTGATCCAGTCTTAACCAACAAAACTTACGAAGGTACAACCTCGTGAAGAGTTTCTGTTGGGGAACTGTACGTGAATGTAGCAACAAAATACAAATAAAAATAAATTTTAAAATTAAATAGAAGTAAACATAAAAATGTTAGCGAACTAAACATACTAGTTAATTTATGAAGGAACAAATTTACAGTTTCTCTGTCGCTTTCATCAAAAAGATGTGAATGAAATGCATCACCCATTGTTGTTACAATCATCATTTTGAAGTTTTCAATGTAGTATGGTAATGTATTTGAATCTAACTTCAATGGAGTTGTGATGTTATTATTATTATGATCACTAAGTTTTATTGGACACATTGTTAATGCAGAAGATGGTGTAATGGAAGTTTCTAAAGTTGATGTGGTAGATAATGATGATTTGGTTAAAGTTAAAGGAGTAACATCACCTATGGACGACTGATTATTCTTGGTGCATGAATTTGCACCAGTGGTATTAAATTCTGACTCATTCAACTCACTAAACAGTGAATCATCATCCTTTATGAAGTCTTCAAAAGAGGTATCAAGTGATGTGCTTTCATTCAAATCACAATTTTTATTTTTCATATCATCACTAGCCAATCCAGCTTTAACAGCAGAAGTACTGCCAGCAGTTGCAACAGTAACATCATCTCCACAACAATCCTTGGTTGGTGATTGTTGCATTGCTATTCTTGTTGAACAAAATGCCTCATCAACTTTGTCACAGTTATTTCTGCTAAATGAACCTGATGATGTCATCATGGTCACACACTGAAGGTCTGATGATGTCACGCATGGAAGGTCTGATGAAGTCACACACGGAAGGTTTGGTGGTGATAAATCCGTAGTCCCACTGACATCAAACATGGCGTCCCATCTTCGCTGCTGCAGTGCGAACAAATCTCCCAGCGGTTTGTAGCAACACTGACGGCTCTTTTTACTAATGAAATCAAGACGGACGGCCGGGTTACTACTGCAACTGCTGCTGCTACTGATTGGCACCTCATTAGATTTTTGCCTTTTCAACCTCCGAAAAGTGTTTTTTGATTTGTACATCATTCAATCACACATATTTATATTTTTACCTAAAAAAAGCACCGAGCTAGGATCGAAAACTTGTTTTGTTTTTCGAGGCAAATTAAATTTAAAAATTGTACTTTTAAACGCAAGTTTTAAAAGTGACGATAAGTTTGGATAAGAAATTTTAATAACAACGGGGCAAAACCGTTTTATAAAAAATCCCAAAACCGTATACTTAGAGTACCGGAAAAATTTGGCAAATCAGGAATTCCGTTCTTAAGTTCTTACAAATTAGCCTTCACATCAACGTCTCATAGATTAATGTAGGTTTTTATTAACGTTGTAAGTTAATCAATGCAATTTCCAGTTAATTGTCAATCAAATTCACATATGCTCATGTGTTAGTTATCGATTTGTGATAGGATTTGCGTTATCACATTATTACGTTACATTAATTGCATTAGTTCCAGCATTTTTATATAAATAGCAAAAAATAGCAAACCTATGATAGGTACTACAGTCAGAGATTTGCGCAATTAACATTGGAACCATGTCAGTGCCCAGTAACAAAGCAAGACATTGCACTTCTACTTATCATCTGAGCCCACAAATTTAGGTTTAATGACCAAACAGTTGATAAGTGGTTTATAACAGCGTAGTTCGCTAACAGAAGAAGAGAGGCCTTGAGGGAAAGGAATTGTCACGTGCCGTTTACTGAAGCATGTTCGTTGCATGTCCTATGGCGAGCTCTACCGAATTCAATTTGTATGAATTCCTTGCACGCGTCCACACATGCCTTCACAAACATCAACAAAAAAGCAATCACAGTGTCGTCGAGTATGACGTCCTGGCAGAGACGTAGTCTAATAATGGAGAAATTTCAAAATATGACCAGCCCATATTAAAAATATTGTAAAATCAAAAATTTTTATTTTGGATAAGCGTGTGTAAACAAATCCGATGCAAGCTAATTTTGGCGAGCACTTTGTTTCAAAAATTATCTGTGTATTGTCACGAATAAAAGGCGGAAATAAACATCAACGGAGTGTATCGATCGCACTTACCTTAAGTAAATAGACACTGAATTTGCATCATGACTGTCCTTATAAGCTCGCTGTTCATCACTTTGCAAGATAGTTTACATTTTCAAAGTTTATTCGAAATAAAACTGCTAGGTTTTGAATAAATCGCTTCAATTTTCAAGATGTTTTCATCAACATGAATGTTTCAGATATCAGAAAATTATTTGTAGTAAACACTAATGAGATTTTAGAAAGTGCTAGGCGAATTGGTGCAAAAATAAATTTGAATAAGGAAGAAATTGTAAATTCATCAAATTTAGTGGTTCCTATGGACGAATCATCTCTTGCGAACAAGACGAATGCCGAAAGAAGATATTCTTCTTATTCCAACTACCTGAGAAGCGACAGATACTTGCAAAATACTCGCACCAGCGTCAGCGACGACAGTTACATATTGGAGAGGAAGTTGTTTGAATCAATGGATGCTCTGTCAGTTATCGGGTTGGTTGAAATTTTTTTGAAACTTTTCAAATTAGCATAATTTGAATTTATTTGGAATATACAAATAACATCATAGCATCGCTCTATCTTACAATTTAATTCGACTCAGAGTCAGACATTGTTTCGATACGAACCGGACTTTTGCCAACCGAATCATTTGGAGCATTCTCGTTCTATTCAGTGTGTCTGTGGCTGTCTACCAAATTTACGACCGCGTCAACATGTACCTCCAACTTCCGACGTCAACCGAAGTTAGTGTCGTCTCAGCAAAAATGTTGAACTTTCCACAAGTGACCGTGTGCAACAACAATTACATCAAACTCTCTGCTGCCAGAGAGAAAGGTTACATTACGATCTAATTTAGGACAATTTAGGATAAAATCTCATTCGCATGAAAGTTGACTTTTGCCGATGCAATTTATTTCATCAAGTTGTTCATGCACCCAGGTTTGGTCGAATATTTCAAGCAGTTCATGCCCCCATTTAGCTACGGACGACGCAATAAGAGTGTAGAGGGTTTCAACGTCCATAAGGAGACGAACGAATCAAAATTTATCGAGAACAGACTATTCCTATCTCATGGCCTGGAACAGATAAAAATGGTAATTTAAATAAATTTTTTATTTTATTAAATTAATTTTATTATGTTCTATTATTTAGCGTTAAATGCTTGACGTTAATAAATTTACATGAATTTTGTTAAACAGTCGCGTTTCATTTTATATGCACGCGTATCGTTGAATTAAAAAATAAGCCATTATACTTTTAAGCCTATTGTTTTGACGATGACTGCTTAATTAACGTGTCAGTTTAACAATAGCAAATAGAAAAATAAGTTTCGCAATTGAAAAATTGAAGTTTAACCGTTAAAATGTGTCTAATTGTCAACAAATTCAGTGCCTCTGGAACCACGATCGCTGTCCAAACAACACAATAACCACAAGATTCACCAATTATGGCCATTGTCTCTACCTCGATTCCAGTATGTTATTTATTAAACTAGTTTCAATGGTAGCACAAATGATTTCAACATTTTCAGTTTTATAATAAAAATTTTTAGATAGATTTTCAAATAAAATTTCGTATTTTAGAAAACTTGTTTTAATGGCGAACATCAAATCATTTAGGAAAGTTGAATCTTACAATAACACGATCCGGAGCAACACACGGACTTATCTTGTTGTTGAATGCCAGTCAAACCGAGTATTTCATCCAACATTCTGGAACAGTGGGATATACGGTTAAAAAACTTTACACGACAGCTTATTAACAATCATATGATATCACAATTAGACGCGATGGTTTAATGGTTATGATTCTTGGCACAGCTGTTTCATTGACTGGATTCGAACGCAGAGATCACCGCCCGCACCTAGGTCACAAATACCTCTGTCACAATCACCTATATCACAAGCATTTATGTGTGAAGTGTTAATTTATCCTTATTCACAGGCGCCTTTTTTGTTTGTTGTTGATACGTACCACTGAAATACACTAAGAGAGAGTTTTAAAAAAATGCCACGTATATAATGATTGGTAAAAATTTTTATTTAAAAATTGTTTACAAAGTACACGGTCCAATAAATTTTGTCTACTATTAAACATGTTCGTCAGGTTCTACTGCATGAACCAGATGAACCACCACGGGTGGAAGAACTGGGGTTCAAGGTCAATTTGGGCGTAGGAACCAATGTGGCAGTTTCCCTTAAAAATGTTAGTTCTTCTCGAGTTGTTTAAATACAGTTTCGTGTCAAATAAATTGCTATGGTTTTGTTTCTAATTCCAATCAAAACACGAATTTTGAATTTAATTAACGACATAGTCTTTCAATTATACAAATTTAGCGGGTGCTTGTTATTTTTAAAAATATTCAAATATTAAAATTTGTACTGAAAGATACTCTGATTAGTGAAATACTTTTTAATTATTTATTGATGCATTACTAGATCACGAGACAAAACAAGCCCGTTGGAGTCTGTTCTGACAGGCGCGGCTACCATCCTGTCAACTGCGAATACAAATGCATTGCAGCTGACATTGTTAAGAAATGCAAATGTAGACCTATCTATATTGAAGGTGATTGTTTGGGAAAATGTTCTTTCATGTTTAATATTTATTTTGAAATTAACACGTAAAAATTTAATTTCAAAAATGATTTAATTTGAAAGAATTGAATCTTTCAAAAAATATTTCTCCATCGCAGCCATTTCTAACGAATCAATCTGTGATTATCACGAAGAAAGTTCTTGCGCGAATCTCGTGGTTGATCAATTTTACGACAGGCGATCCAGCGGCTCAGCTGGCTGCACCTGCCCTCCCCTCTGCTCTGAGATCAAATACCACCCATCTGTCACTGGTGCATCTCTCAGCAAGAGTTTCATGAAAGCCCTACCTTCAGCGAGTCGAAACAACAAAACCTTTTCAGAGGTAACATACGATACAACCATGCTGACGATTTACATCAGCAGTTTGGAATACACGCACGTCAACACGGACGTCAACTACTCGTTTATGGCACTATTAAGCGATCTGGGAGGTGCACTCGGGCTTTTGTTAGGCGCTACTTTTTTGACTTTCCTAGAGGCCTTAGAATTGATTTACGATTTGGTTTTGTATGCCAGAGTTAAGAAGAAAATGGCCGATGCAGCTAAAAATAATAACCACAAAGTTGTTGAAAATAGTGATTTAGCGTTCTGACTAATGTTAACCGGCTTGATAAAAGTTATAACTTTAAATCTGTTAAGTTCTAGTTACGATGCAAGTTTTGAATGTGAGATTATACAAATAGTTAACTACTGGAGCATTTTAAACATTATTATTATGTTAAATTATTATACTCAAGCTTCAAATGTAACGTATACATGAAAATATTTTTAACGATCGGAAGTATGTGATCTTAATATTTTAAAGAATTAAACTCATGTTTGCATTTATTATACGCATGTTTGTAATTTCATCGTTTAATATTATGATGACAGCAAAGAAAATTTTTCATTATTTTACAGTTTTAAAATTAATTTTCAAAATGTAACCCAAAGTAGCACATTACGCTCTCTCGTAACGAATGCTTTATAATTTTCGTGTTTTGATTGGTTTTAAATTGATGACAGTTAAGTTTAATAAACTATATTGATAAATTGAAAAATACTGTCAATATTTTTAACACACATATATGTCACACGCAATAAAATGACAAGTAGTCCATGAAATGATTTTTTCTACGCCAAAATATCTTTTCCATCACAAACTAAATTCATTGAAAAATAAGAAGACATATTGAAAAAGAGCTATATTTAATAAAAAGCCATGTAAATAAAAATTAATTTAGAAGAATGCAATCATGTAGAAAGCAAACAAAGGCAGACCTATCGTCAAGGCGATGTTTAAGAGTAAGTACGCTCTTCAGATTCAATAACAAATAATTATTTCTAGGCACTGACAAGATTGAAGCTAGATTAAAGATTAGATTGAAGATTATTTTTCGACTTGAGACACATTTTTCATCGGAATATGAGCATTTTGAGAGTGAAAAATTTATTCTTAGTAGAACATGCGGCGAAAACAGGCTCGACGACGCAACTACACCACAGTAACTCGACTAGCGAATTGATATCAAACATTTCCACACGTAAGCCGCCGTCTTCTCCGATCACAGTAACAATTTCGACTATTTATTTTTACATTTTTTAATTAATCTTAAAAAATGTGGTTTTTTATAATTTTTTAGCATATTTGTCGCTGTAAAAATGATGACTATCGCCATTTGGAGCGCAAGTTATTAGAATCGATAGATTCATTATCCGTAATTGGGTATGTCGATGAACTTATTTTAGAGGTTACCAACCAAATAATTTTCACCATTTCGCAATAACTTAACCAGATTCAGGCACTGCATTGATGTGAATCGTACATCATCCAGCAGAATTCTATGGTCCATTCTTGTTCTATTCAGTGTCGGATTTGCGATCTACCAATGTTACGAACGCATAGAAACCTATTTTAATTACCCAACGTCTACTGAGATCAGCGTCGTCTCATCGAAGGTCATGAACTTTCCACAAATTACCGTCTGTAATAACAATTACATCAAACTGTCAGCCGCAACTGAAGCAGGTAGGTGAAAAATTTATCTTCTTAGAAAATCTAACTTTATTAATCTTTTTTTTATGTTTAGTCCATAAGGTATATAAACTTCGGAAGAGTGTATATGACCTTAATCCTTTTTTATAATTATAGTGCATTATTTTTAGTAATTTTTAAAAATAAATTTATTTCCATTACAGGATTAGTGAAATATTTTAAAAAATTTATGTGGCCGTATGAGACGGAACCACTAAGCAAGAAGATGAGTGGAACTGTGGGAAGCATGCCACAGGAAGGGGACAACGAGAAACTTGTTGGAATGAGAAAGATGTTGTCGCCTGGATTAGATCAGATCGTTAAAGTGACCATTGAGATCACAAAAATTTAATTAAAACTGATTTAAAATCAAAATCATGTTTTCTTATAACTCACAAAATTTAACAAATAATTTTTTGAAAATTGTACCTTTGTTTAAAAAAATTTCTTTACATTCTTAGTGCTTGTGGAATAATCACATCTGTCCAAGAGACATGATTACGACTAGGTTCACCAACTATGGACGATGTCTTTTTCTTGATTCAAGTACATTATTCTCTCTATTGCAGTTCAACTACTTTGATGAAAAGAAAGAACAAAATAAAATAACAATTCGATCGTTTAGAAAAGTTGAATTTGACGGTATGGAGGCCAGGCTCAAAGCAAGGGCTTCTGCTTATCTTGAACGCCAATCAATCCGATTATTTCATCCAACAAACCGAAGCAGTTGGGTTCACGGTAAGACAAAAACATTTGTTCAAAACAATTTCTGACTCGATCAACAACTTACAAAATTATTATTTTGAAGTTATGAGCAACTGAACGAAGCGACGTTACGAAATTTGTATGCAACATAAAAAAACTTATTACTTTCAAATATACAACCCATCTACGAGTGTTATATACAAAAAGTCACCTGCATGGATCGGATCGTTAAACATTAGGCTGCCAAATTATTAAAAATATTGTTAAATGTATAATTGAAATTAATGTTAGAAATCATTTCGGTACCTATCAGGTTTTGGTCCACGAACCAGAGGAGCCACCGCGAATGGAGGAGCTTGGTTTCATGATTAACACCGGCGAAGAAATAGATGTGGCTGTATCCGTCACCAAAGTAAATTTTCATCTTTTCGTCTATTTATGATCGATTTTTATATTTTTATCTAAAATTTCTACTTGGCGTAATGGCTTTAAAGAGCGTTACTTTTTAATTTTGGAGTTTAAACTGTTTACACAAAGTATAACATTAAAAAATCGATTATAAGATCACAAAATGCAACCCGACTGGTTCATGTTCTAGCGATCCAACGTACCATCAATTGAAATGTGAATGGAGGTGCATTACAAAGAAAATTGTAAAGTGGTGCAACTGCAGACCCATCTACATGGAAGGTTCATGCGTTCTTACTCCATACGTTAAATTAAATCAACCTAAAAATTTAAAAACCAACACTTATTCATCCTAATTTGAATTTTGCAAAAAAATTGTCCACAAAAGTAGCAATCGCTAACGAGCCAATATGTGATTATTTCAACGAGGAATCCTGTGCCAACCACATCATAGATGACTTCTACGAAATGAACTCCAACGGCTCTTTGGAATGTCCATGTCCACTTCCCTGCAACCAGATAAACTACCAACCATCTGTCACTGGATCAGCACTGAGCGAGAATTTTATTGACGCCTTGAAACATGTCTCCGAAACGAACATAACACGCAACTCAACCATTTTGAAAATTTACCTGAGCAGTCTACAGTACACGCACATAAACACTGTCTTGAGATACAGCTTCATGGCCCTATTAAGCGATCTAGGAGGAGCTCTGGGTCTCTTGTTGGGTGCCACTTTTCTAACTGTTTTGGAAGTTGTTGAATTAGTTTATGATTTTTTCTTATTTATTAAATTTAAAAAAAAGTGTCCATTTGCACGTCATTTTTGATAAAGTCAATGAAACTAAGATATTTCAAAGTTCTTTCCGAAATGCTTTAAACAAAACTATGAAACCTGCGTGGTGTTTCGTATGTAAATGTTCATGATGATTTTTATGTACTGAACTGATAAACGCTGATGCTAAACAGCAATCATAGATTACGTTAGTGATTTTGAACTTGTAATTTCATAATTCTCGTGTGCAATAAATTACCATTATTTGAACTACATACATATTTGAACAATTCTTAACAAAAGTTTACCGATTCAGTGTACCAACAGCAAACTTCCCAATCTCCAAAGATTTGTCTTAAATGGATAATAATTTTGAAAAAGTTGTTTGTCATTTATTTTCTATACGAACGTTGTCGCATTATTTAGGAATAAAAAAATTATTTGCAGATAGAGCAAACAAAAGCACTAACTAGTTAAAGAGATAAAAAAAACTGTTTATACGATCCAGTTAATGGAAACGAATTGGTAAGTGGTATTCCATTATATGTAGCAGTGACACTAATCTTAAAATGCCCGTTCATGTAACTCCGAGTCACCGGGAGCAAGCACTTAATGTTAATTCAAATTATATTATAATTTCATTTAGTGATTCGTTGATGTCGATATTTTGCGTGAACCAAAAAATTAGCGGTAGAACGAATCACTAAGCATTTTTTTGTGATAGAATGAAATCGCAATAATTCCCTAGTACCAAATATTTCAGTTTCATGTTGATTATAAATGATTAAAGAGACTTGGAATTATTTATTAATTCATTGATTGAATTAATTAATCAATTAGTTAATTAATTATGTCAAATAAATTATTCGCGATTAAATTTCATTCAAATTAGACCTAACTAATTGGTTGTATAAATTATGTTTGCTGAATTTTTTGAATCAAATTTTTGATTCAATGAATAAATAATTTTTTTTATTTCCATATTACGCGTACCTGAATCTGATTTTATTGACTGTTGTAATGCTCAAATCTTTGCTAATCACGATGCACTGATATCATTCACAGTTGTAGTGCTCTTAGTGAATGGAGTTTTTGTGCTACTAAGTGCTTTAAATATCCACATTCGATAGCGAGATTATTTAAAGAATTGTTGCTAGGTACCATGACGAACTCTTTTCTAACAACTTCTCCGTGCTATCATTCTAATGCAGAAACGCTATCAACGACATTATGTGAAAGCATGCTATCAAGCTTACGTATTTGTGATGAATTGTATAACATAATTTTTGAGAAGTGAGTTGGTAATAAAGAGTTTTTAAAAAAATGAATTTTTAAAAAATTAAAAAAAAAATTCGAATTCAAAATTTTGACAATATTGCGATTAGATAATAAATTAACATAATGCCCAAAACAACTGAAATCGTCGTTGCGCCGTGTCCAACAAGTCCAGACAGGAAACTCTCGCTACCGGCAATCGCACCACCACTGGACACAAACGCGAACGCGAGCACGAACACACTCCCAACAAGATCAGCCTCATTCTCTACAATGCCTAATGAAATAGATGCCAGACATGTCCTGAAATCTCATCATCAACTCAAAATGTACAAAATTTTTAAACAAAATTTGTCAAAGAGAAGCAACAACACTAACAACGATAGCAACAACACTTCCAACAAAATCAACTCAACCACTAACAACAACAACAATGGAGGTTTCATAAGTGAAGATGCCAACAGTTTTTATCTTGAGGCTAACTTGATAGACGCAGTTGATGAAATATCCATTATTGGGTAGCAAATTCGCAAATTTAGAAAGAAATTTCACAATTTTTTTAATACTGCAACTACATATATTGTGTGAAAATTTTTGTCAATTTTAAACTTAAATATACTGTTAAATTATTTTTAAAAAAAAAAAGCTTTCGTCATTGCGTCGACACGAATCGCTCCCTGCTGAACAGACTCATGTGGATCACCCTCCTCCTCACCGGATTCTCCCTGGCAGTTTACCAAATCAACGACCGCATCGCTCATTACTTTGAATACCCAACCAGCACCGAAATTGATGTCGTCCCATCACAAAATATGACCTTCCCTCGCGTGACTATCTGCAACGATAATTTTATAAAGTTGTCTGGCGCTCAGGCTTTGGGTTTTCTTAATTTATTTAGTTACACCTTTTTATTTAAATTTTCAATTTCAAGTTTTTTTGACAAGTGATAACAAATTTATAAAAAGGTAAGTTAACCCAAAATTTAGAATCGTTTTTATTCACAAACTTTGGAAAACGTAAAGGCCTGGTGAGTTATTATAGGCAGTTCATGAGTCCTTTTGTCATCGGGCCTGTCGTTCAAAGCGGAATGAAGAACCACATTCCTAAGTTGACTAACCAAACGGAAATAATTGAAAAGATGAAGTTTTTATCACCTGGCATGGAGCAGTTTGTATCTGTGAGTTTTTTGTAGTTTGTATTTGAAAGATGTGCGATGTTTCTTCTGAAAAAAATATAGGTACTTTTTAAGATAATTTTTTATAAAATATAAAACTTTGTGTGTTTTCATGTTTTTTTTTTATTTTACACCAAGTGTTTTTGGAATGGAATGCCGTGCCCAAACGATTTCGTGCACATGGAATTCACAAACCTTGGCCATTGTCTCTTTGTTAATCCAAGTATTTCCATTTTCTCGCTCAACATTTCATTAGGTTGAGCAAGTTTTTAAAAAATTCTAAACGAGATAGGATCATTATTAAACCATTTAATGATTAACCAGGCCAAACAGTAATTAAGATTAGCCTACACGTATATTTAAATGTCTATTTTATGGTTTTTATATTTTTATATTTGATCAACACCTAGAATACATAGCAATGCAATTCTTTTACAAAATTGTCTAGTTAGATAAACGTCATCACAAAATTAACTCATCATTATAAAAGCAGTTTGGATTTGTTTTAAAATTTTAAAAATTAATTAGAGGATTGTTACACAAATACATTGCCACATTGTTGTAATTCGTTGAAACTAGGAGAGAGGAATTTGTATGTGACTCGCCCTGGGGCAATGTTTGGACTCATGTTATTTCTGGACGCCAACCAATCTGACTACTTTGCTCAGCCGAGTCCGTCGGCTGGCTACAGGGTATCTTTGAAATTTTTTTTAGAAAATTTAATTATTTTTTTTTTATAGATTAGTCACTTAACCTGCACAAACCATAAAACTTTTGATTTGTTGAGGTTTTGTTGCACGAGCCAAATGAGCCACCTCGTATGATGGAGTTAGGGTTCAAAGTTCATCTCGGTCAAGCAGTCAACGTGGACGTGTCCGTCACAAATGTATGTTGCAGTGTTGTAATGAAGAAAGTTAACAACCTTCTTCATTAGAGAACTTTATAAACATTTGCAAATCAATACAGCTGAACAATTTCATGCCGTATTTTACATTTCTTTTTAATGAAAGACATAAACACAACAACAGATCACAAGACAGAGACCACCGTACGGATCGTGCACTGATGAAGAAGATTACAACCAGGTGGATTGCGAGTGGAAGTGCCTCAATGAGGAGATCGTCAAAAATTGCAGCTGCAGGCCTATTTATATGAAAGGTACGCAACGAAAATTCTTTAATTTGGTAGAATAAAATTATTTGATAGAATTGGGCAACTTTAGAGTTTTTTTAAATTTAACAAACAATTAAATCCTTCGTATGAACAAGCGCTACACAGTTTTTAAATTGTACAGCGATTGATGACGAGTTGGTATGCGATTATTACGAAGAAAGAAGTTGCGCCGAAGTGGTCACCGATGAATTCTACCTTAAAAAATCCAGCGGAGAGATTTCTTGCTCCTGCCCTCCAGTCTGCAATGAAATAACCTACCAGGCTTTTGTCACCGCGTCATCCTTTTCGAAAAAATATTTTGGCTACTCGAACGAAACTGCAGACTTTTCTTACATCATGGATAATAATATATTTCTGTCAATATATATAAGCAGTATGCAGTACACAAAGCTGGTGTCGACAGAGGGATATTCAACAACTGCTCTGCTGAGTGATCTCGGTGGCGCGCTCGGTCTCATCTTGGGTTCAACTTTCCTTACTGTCGTTGAAATTGTTGAGTTGATAATGGATCTGATTGTTTATGGCTATGCGAAGAAAAAAGAATTTTTGAACAGTTACAAGAAAAATGATGGATTTGATCCAACTGCTGTTGTCCTGAAACCCTTCAGAAAAGTTTTTGAGAAGCGAAATAAAAGTGAAGAAAAGATATATCCATATGAGGTTGATGCTCAGTGATGGAGTGGCGATGTGTTAATTTTAATTTTATGAAAAAGTCTAATATGAATTATTATTTAAAGATTCCAAAAACTAATTCATGTTATTATGTAGTTCATGTGTCACCAAACTGAAGTTTAAATATAATTTCAAAATTGCACATTCTTCTATGCACATTAAAATTAAAAAAAAATTATTAAACAAATATTTCGACTTAGAATAAAAACAAAAAACATTAAATGAATTTTGGAGTAAAAGTGGGTATTGATCTTATTTATGACAAAAAACATTTTCTCGCAGATCAGTCAGTTATGATGTATTGTTTACTCGTGATCCACATGTATGCGTGCAACTACGTTCTGGACTGTCAATGTTTGCCTACAAATTTGCGTGGGCTTGGGCGATGTTTGGATAATGTGCGTGGTTTATGTGCTCAATTTTTAAAAATTTTTCCAAGGTTATTGAAATTTTATTTGAAAAAATCAGACACACTGAAAAATTTAAAAAAAGATTTTTGCCAAAAACCACGAAACTCGTCAAAATTTATTGGACGATGTTCTTGTTAGTAACTCAGATCTCATTGAACAATTTATTTGGATAGTAAATTGAAAAGCAAATTATTAGTTCAATACCGCCAAATTATTGACCAACCTTCCATTAGCGGTTTATCATGAGCATAAGTGCACGGGAAAAATCTTTCTGAGTTACTTAGCAGAACAAACATCAGCTGTTTGTCTTCAACCTCGGCGAATGTTATAAAATATACTCCACACCCATCATCAATCCCACATTCAGCTGAAACTATCGCATCACTTCTTCATTTCTGTAATTTGTTAAGTTAGTTATTCATTTCAAAATTTTTAGTTGGAGATATCGATGGCCGACAATAATGAACAAACACCAGAATGATATGACGATAGAATCCAGCCAGTGCATGGACTGCAGAACACTATCTGGCAGAGGTATCAAAGTCAATGAAGCTTTCACTTACTCCTTAGATGTGGCACGAACTGATGTGCACATAAGAATTACAGATTGTAAGAAGGGTGAAGACGATGGTAAAGATTGTTCTGGAAGGAATATCGACAGAAATGTTAACAAAAATTATAATGAAAGTAACATTACTAACACCGATTCCACTCACCAAAGATCAAAAATGAGAAATAACAATGTTGTAATTATTCAAAACCAGGATGACAACAAAAGCAAGACATTTGATGGGAACGTAAACGGAGATAATAAAGATAAAAATATTTACGACAAAAATTTTAACAAACAAGACACTAAAATTGAAAATTCTTTCCAGGAGAAAGAAGTTATTCAAACCAACGAGAACAAAACCGACGACATATCGGAAGCAGTGCCAGCCAGCAGCAGCTTGCGACAGCGCAAGTTCAGCTCGTTGAACCAGTTCGGCATGAAGAAGTTGTGGAGGAAGTACAGTTTGAAGAATGATAACAACGATAATTTTTATTACTTCGCCACTAATCTGTGGAACTCTCTCGATGAGATATCAATAATCGGGTAGGTCTTTCGTACTAATGTGGGAGTCTCTATATTAGATTTTCATGTTTCAAAGTTTCTTTCAGGTTTTAAATAATTTCATTCTTTTTCTCAGTTCATTTCGTATTGTAGTATTTTAATTTCACATTTATTTTGTCAAATTTTGTCAACCAATCTGACGAAAAACACCTTTTGTTGCGGCTGAGTTTTGAATTATGCAGCTTGTGTTGGGTAAATAATTCGAGCATGAGTTTTTAATCCAGTGAAATAAGATTTAAAATGTTAAAAGTATGTTCCAGAATAACATTTTATACTATTGGCTCATGAAATAAAGTGAAAACTAAAATATATTAGTCTATTGTTTTTCACAACAGTATGAAACATTGTGCGGACAGCAATCGCTCGCTCATAAACCGTGTCATGTGGTCCATCTTCATAATTTTCGGGTTTTTGCTGGCAGTGTACCAAGTAAAAGATCGTGTTATGTACTATCTCAAATACCCCACTTCTATCGACTATGACATCGTCACTTCTCACATCACACTCCCTCAAGTCACGGTCTGCAACAACAACTTCATCAAGAAGTCTTCAGCCGCTAATCTCAGTAAAATGACATCTTTATTTTTCAGAAAAGACATTATAAAATTGTTTATTCGCTAATAATTTTTTCAAATAGTTAATTTTCAGCTATTAATCACAATTTGATTATCTATTAATAATGTTTAGGTTTGGTGGAATACTTCAGAAAGTTAGACCCTCTCGGTGTAAGAATCAAAGTCGAGAATTACCACAACCTTACTTATTTAAACAATGCGGGAATTATCGAAGCAAGGAAATTCCTATCTCCAGGACTCGAGCAGTTGGTATATGTTAGTCCAAGTTTCTTACTTGTTAATTTATTTTTTCATCATAAATATAGTTCCTCAAATTCTTGATAATTTTTCAACATTGTTGCTAATGCGACCTTAGTGCATTTGGAATGGTCAGGTATGTCCCGTGGAGATCATCGGCACAACGTTCACAAATGCTGGCCAATGTATTATTGTCAATCCCAGTACGTTTTTAAATAAAAGTCTTTTCTTTTTTTGTGTGTTTGTTAGGATGAAATTGTCACTCCTTTATAAAGAACTTAGAACGCCTTTGATGACGTTTTAAGAAAATTATATAGGTGTTAAGAAAGTTACATACGTGTGAGTGTGATTGTCTCAATTTTGTTTGAATTTAACGATGGTTTACGTGTTGGAGTAGCAGCTGTAGGCCTTAAATGTTCATTTGATAAAACGTTAGATAGAAATAACACTAACTTATCGATTGAGTGGTTTAACATCAAAAATGTTAAACCACTATAAATAATAAACAATAAATGCAATGTGCTTCGAATGTTTCATATGTTCAAAGTTAAAGAAATTTTTTTTTCATTTAAAATATTTTAAAATTCATCACTAGGTAAAGCTAATTCGAATTTCCTCAACGGACCCGGTGCTCTATCAGGACTGGTGTTGATTTTATTCGCCAACCAATCTGACTACTTGATGCAAAAGTTTTTCTCGCTTGGATTCACTGTAATTATTTTTTAATCATTTTCTACGTTTAAAAATAAGCTAGCTAACAAATTTCTAATGATTAATAATGATAATGTTTGACGTAAATTTTAAAATGTGGTTAAATTCTTGCCAGGTGTTGGTTCACGACCCAAAAGAGCCACCTCAAATGTTGGAACTTGCCTTGAATGTCAACCTTGGGGAGGAAGTCAACGTGGCCGTGTCAGTTACGAATGTTAGTAGAGAGTTCATCCATTCACTTTCAACGAACTTTGATAGTTGGATGACTCAACTGAATGATTGAACAATTCAAATTTAAATACTCAAGCTTCCTATTAATTTTTGGAATCTTAAAATTAAATATCAGCGCTGGAAATTAATGTATGTATGTGATTGACAAGATAACCAGGCTGAAACATCCACACGGAATATGCACAGATCAGGAAGGTTACCACTTCACCAAATGCAAGTTGGAATGCGTGACAAGGATCATAATTAGCAACTGCAGTTGCAGACCCATTTACATGGAAGGTTGCATAACATGAAACGTACATTTTCAAACTCCAGTTTAAACTACGACTTGTTTTGAATTTTAGAGATTGGGAATGAATCAATATGCAATTACAACGAAGAATTTCATTGTGCTGATAAGGTGATGAGAAATTATTATCTTAATAGCTCACAAAATGGTAACGACGACTGCCCACCGATGTGCAACGAAGTTACGTACCAAACTTCAGTCACTGGCTCAAAATTTTCACCCGTTAACTTTCATTATATCAAACCATTATTTGAAAACAAATCGATCGAATTCAAACCTAGCGATGTAGTCATTTTACGAATTTACATGAGCAGCATGGAGTACACCAAAGTCTCGACCGTCAAAGCTTATTCAGAGATGGCGCTGCTGAGCGACCTGGGTGGTGCCTTGGGACTTCTTCTAGGATCAACTTTCCTTACTGTTTTCGAAGCTTTTGAACTGTTTTGGGATTTTTGTTTATACACCTACGCCAGGAAGAAGAATTGGATAAAAATATGGAAAGCCTAGTGTGGCTGATTCGATTCGACAACTGTTGACGCGTTTGTTGAGAACTTTTTGAAAGTTACAACTAGAAATACATCACACTTCATGAATTGTTATTTTTTTACTATTTATTTATATCAAAATTGATTAAATGTTTTTTAGTTATTCACATTTAAACACGAACACATTAATGTTTCTGTGTAAAAACAAATTTTCAATAAAATTTTTAAATGTTCAGTATAAAATTATTTTGTTAATATCAATGAACCAAAAATATGAAAAATAAGAATAGGTACTTTTTGACAACAACAGTTAACAGTTCACTTGAGTTTTCAGGCAAAATCTTCATCCTAAACATACGCAGTTTAATTGCGTAGGCGTTTTAGAGATTTCAGCTGAAAGTGAAAAGTAAAAAATAGTAGATCATTGTTGTTGCTATGTTGCTATATCGTTGTCCAGATTAATGCTGCTTATTATTGCCTCCACTTTCATTCATTTAGTAACAACAACAACACATTTATTCATTTTTTTCATGTTTTTAATGGAAAATGGTTTATTCCTTTGTTAGGTCATTACCTTGTATTTCTGTAAAAGATGAAAAATTGTTGCCTGAGGAGCAAACACTCTAAGCCAAAAAAACGTAGCCATTAAAATTTTAATTATCAAATTTTAATTATTATTTATAGATTGAAATATTGTGAAATTAATACTTTTAAATGTTTATATTTTTGAAATAAATTTACAAACAATTATTTAGAGTGTTTAAAATAATGGTACGCAAAGTGATAATTAACGTCATAATGAATCGATTTGACTACATTAGTGGCTCCAATGTAATTCGACCACGATCTACAGTTTTTATTATATTGTTTGGAATCATTTAGGAACATTTCGAAAGGCAAAAATGTGATCGATGTTGTTAGCTTCAAACTACTCTATCATTAAACAGTAAACGTACATTGACCTTTCACTATATTATCACATACTTAAGTGAAACTTTAAAGGCGCTTGAAGTTTTTTAAAATGTTCTATGATATGATTCATTAACTCAGATTGTGCCAAATATCAAATTTTCAAATAATTAGAGATCATTCTTTAAATTAAAATTTTAATAGAGATAACAACAGGTATTGTAGCGTTAATATGAATCCTACTGGTGAAGGTTTTTGTGGTAATGAAAATATTTTTAAAATTAACGTTGGTGTCGTCAACAATGATATCAGAGCGAAGATTGAGAATTGTGACAGCAGCGGGATAGATGAATGCCCGCCTTCAACAAACATTTTTAAAAAGTTCAAACTCAGTTCTCTAAGAAGGTTTAAGATAAACAAAATACTAAAAATTTGCAGTGTCAATAGCAATGGCCAAGACGATTTGTATTTTGTCGAAACGAACTGATGAAATCTCTTGATGAGATATCGATTATTGGGTTCGTAGCGAGTGTACAACAGACACACTTTTTCAATATTTCGATAAAAAATTTTCTCTACTCTGTGAGCTCAAATTTAGTTTACGGTGTAATAAACAAAATTTAATTTTAAGAGTTAATGCTAAATGATTTTTTTTCATTTAAGTAGCAAAATTTAAATTAAAGTTATTTTCTTTAATTGAAAATTTCGTTCTCACAAAAACACTTTCTAACTAACTCAGAATAAAACATTCGATGGATTATGATCGCTCCTTGATAAGCCGAATCATTTGGGCAATCCTTGTCACTCTGGCTGCTTTTCTAGCTATTTATCAAATCGGGACACTTCTTTTTCGCTACTTGGAGTACCCCACATATACAGAGCTGGATATTATGTCCTTGCGAAGTTTGAAGTTTCCTCGAATCACCATCTGCAACAATAACTACGTGAAAAAATCAGCAGCTGAAAGTTTATGTAGGAGAGTGTTTAGCGGTTAAAGATATTTGTTATTGACTAAAATTTAAAATTATTTCACAGGTTTAGTTGACTATTTTCAACCATTAACCCCTATCAGTTTGATGAAAATGGCCAAAAATATCAATCAAACACAAAAGTACCAAACAAAGTTTCGTGGCCGAAAAGTAAACGTTAGCACGAGGAAATTATTATCTCAAGGCATGGAACAAATTATAGATGTTAGCATTGCTCATGTCATTTCAGTAGGAATCAAAAAAATAATTCAACAAGAATTATTAGATTATTTAATAACTGAACGTAGGTAGCTTGGAATGGTAAATTATATACACACGATGCTATGAAGACGATGTTCACTGATTTCGGACAATGTTTTCGACTCAAGTACGAACGTTTTTACTTTTAGCAATTCATTTTTACAAACTTTTTACTTTAATACATTAATGCCATATTTATGTACTTATGTTATTTATGATACTTATGTACATGAAACACGACGTGAAATGTCATTGTGTTAAATGATTGATTATCCAACACAATCGATAAACGTAAAAAATCTTGCTTGCTATAATTCATTGATTAAGGGTTAAAAAGGTTAAAGGTCATTCTCTCTTCTGCACCTGCTTCAAGGGTTTCGATGACAACGCACACAGCGTATATGAATACGGTATTACCCGTGAAAACCATGCATATGATAGGGTTACTTTTGGGTTCAACATTTTTTACTTTCATTGAAATTTTAGAGTTAGTTTGGAAAATATTTATTTACGTTTCGGCAAAAATATTGCAAAATTAATGCAAATGAGGATGAAGTAGCATGAAGGACTTGAATTTTTTTAATATATTTCACTTTTAACATGAGGCTCATACATTTTTTAAATATATAGCCTCATGGCTTTATACAATGAAATATTTTACCTGTTATATGTTTTACATAGACACTTACGATAATGGTTGAAGATGTTATTCGCGTTCATAAGCCAAAACATCGTTAGACATGTCTTTGAAAATGTTTCTCTTATAAAAATTGTGTCAATTTAAAAAATATTGGCATAAACATATTGTATAAACATTGTGAAAATAAAATATTACTAATGCAAGTTTTAATCAACTCTTTCCAAATTACAATTTTAAAACCGAAGACGTCGTCTAGCATAGCGTTTCATTAAAAAATTATGCAAGAATTGATACAAAATTATAAATCATATACCAACTATTAATAAATATTTTGTTATATATAACTATGTATATATAACAAAGTGAAATATGATGAAATTATATATAATTATGTATAACATAAAAATATAGTAAAGTTATATATAATTATGTGTAACAAGGTGAAATAAACAAAAAGCAATGAGGTGTATTGACCATTTTGAATACGAAAACATATTCAAAATGAAATATATATATATATATATATATATATATATATATATATAGAGAGAGAGAGAGAGTGAGTGAGAGAGCAAATATGTGAAAAAAATTTCAAGTATGAAGACAAACTATGAAATAAAAAAAATTTTCGAATCATTGAAAATTTTAAAAAGTTCAACAAATAAAAAGACAAATCTCTAGAACGAAAGTTTATTGTTTATATAGGATATGAAATTAATATTTCCTTACATTTTCATTAGTGTGAAACATTCTTTAAAGTAAGTTCTGAAGAATTTTTAAAAGTCTTTTAAAACAATATTTTTTTATTCAAATGCGTATTCAAGATAAAAATTTTTGGCTAATAATGTTATGTCAATGTAAGCACAAATAATTAGTTTAAATATAACGTAAAATATATGACCACCCTAATAGCACCAAAATTTTTTAAAGCGTTTTAAAAATCGATTGTCTTCATTTAAAAAAATACTTTAATTCATGCTAAAATATTTGAGTGGCCCATTAGAACGCATCGTTAATATTGGCAATTCCGTGCTTAGAATAATGCTTCAATCAAGTTTTTTTTATGAAGATTGATCTCTTAAAAGCACCACAAATTCACAACTGCACTAAAAAATTGCTGAACTCAACCGCTGGTTTCAAATCAAATATTTTAAAAGAATTTTAATGTTTTAAATACTGTTTGCAGTTTAACAATGAATTTTAAAATATAATATACATTATAATGATAATGACATCGTCGGAGGTTACTTAAAAGCAGGTAGTTGCGGAAACAGGTTAGTTATCTTATGGATGGAAACGCAACAAAATATCAGACATGAGTTACAATCCCAATGATACTCTATCTACAAATAGCACGGATACAATTGCTTCATTTCAAATCAAAGGTAACAAAAATAAAGACGACACTGAAGAAAGGGATGGCCCTAACAACAAACGCAATAAAAATCGCAAGGACGTTGATATCGGTGGGTTGGTAATAACATCGGGAAGTTTGAGAGAGCACAGATTCAATACGTCGAAGAAGTTCAGAATAAAGAGGATATGGAAGCAGTACAAGAGGAACGATAGTGAAGAGGAGGATATTTATTTACTTGAAGCAAATCTGTTGAAATCTCTCGACGAAATATCGATTATCGGGTGGGTTTATTTTTAACGGGAAATTCTTTTAAATTTGCAAATTTTTCAAATGGTTTTCAACACTTCAAACAATGTAAAACTGCCTACAAAGAGTTGCAGAAATCATTTTCTACGTAGGTTATTCCATTACCTATTTCATTTACAATTTTGCTTATTCAGATTTCGCTCCCAAATAAATGCTTCAAAAAATTATAAAATTATATTAAATTATAAATCCTTACCGGTAAAAATAACATAGGGTAAAACACACTATGGACACAAATCGTTCACTGATGAATCGAACCATGTGGGCTCTCCTCGTCTTCGCAGCATTCTGCCTGGCCATCTACCAAATCAAAGAACGCATCTCGCATTACCTGGCCTACCCAACCTTGACAGAGCTCGACATCGTCCAATCTGTAAGCATGCCATTCCCCCAGGTCACAATATGCAACAACAATTATATCAAGATGTCGGCAGCTGAAAAGCTAGGTTCAACTTTTTCAAATTTTTGTGTAATTTTTATAAATTATTTTGAAACATCAATAACAAATTATTTAATATTTACATATGCTACTAAATAAAGATATTTAAATTTCCACAATGAAAATTTGTTTAAAATTTTTTACTTTCATAAAATCATAAAAATCTTATTCAGGCTTGGTGGAATACTTTCAGCAGTTCACTCTGAATTATAAAATGGAAGCTAACCACTCAACTGTTAAAAACTTTAGTTACTCAAAGTTCGACAACGAATCAGAATTCATCAAAGCCAGAAAATTGTTATCACCCGGAGCCGAACAAATTCTTTTGGTAGTTTTTCATTTCATTTTTTATAAATATTAATCTTGATAGACAACTTTCAAAAAATTATTGAAACATCCACTGAGAAGTGTTTTTGGAGTAAGAAACCTTGTTCGAAAGAGACGATAAGTACAACATTCACAAATGAAGGACAGTGCATTGTTATCAATCCAAGTTAGTTACCGGTGCTGATTAAAATGTGCGCGAGCGATATGATACCACAAGAATTTGATTTTCTTGATTAACAAATTGAAACCTTGATTAGGGAAATCATTGAACTTCGGTAACACAGCAGGCGTTTCTATGGGACTGCATTTATTTTTATTCGCAAATCAGTCGGATTATTTTGTGCCAAATGGATATTCAGTTGGATTCAAGGTCATTATTTATAGCTATTAATATTTTTAAAACATTTTTATGTAAAAAAAATATATTGCCAAAATTATTTGATGAATACTATCAGCCAATCATGTTAGTTAAGAAAATTCAAGTTAGGCTTAAGTTTTCTTTGTTAACAAACCTCCAATTTATAAATTTGTTTCTCTTAGATTTTAAACACTAGAACGTATTGTAGAACGACTTAAAAAAAATTTTTTAATTGATTTAAAACTTTGCAATTAAACATTAGTTTTTTCCACCACAGGTTTTGGTTCATGAACCAAATGAACCAGCACGTATGAGTGAACTAGGGTTCATGGTCAGTCTCGGCGATGAGGTCAACATTCCTATATACGTAAATGAGGTTGATCAGATTTTCAAAATTAATGCTCGGTGTATCATTTTATTTAATATTAATTTTGGAATTGAGATGAATGTCCAAGTATCATTCATTCAATTTTCTCATCTATTTTATTTTCTCATCTAAAAACGCAGAAACGTTACTACAATTTATTTAAAAAACAAAAATGTGACAGATTGGAAGACTGAAATTTCCACACGGCACGTGCACAGATCAGCCGAACTACCATCCAATCAAATGTGAACGAACATGTGCCACCCGTGAGATCGTCAAAAAATGTAACTGCAGGCCTATCTACTTGGAAGGTTGTACACAGATTTTCAATTTCCATTTCAAATTATTCTTGAAACTTTTTAAACTATTTTAATCTAAGAAATCGGCAATGAAACAATATGCGATTACTACAAAGAAACAATCTGCGCTGAGGTAGTCATGAACGAATACAACTCCAACAAGCCGGACATTTCTTGCCCGTGTCCACCCCTTTGCAATGAAATAACCTACCAAACATCCGTCTCTGGATCTAAATTATCTGAACAATTTATAACTGCCATAAGTAAGTTGATGAAAGAAGTTCCTAAGATATGGACAGCCAACGATCTCGTCTTTTTGAAAATTTACTTCAGCAGTATGCAGTACACTAGGGTTGAAAACGTCGCCGAATACTCAGTGATGTCACTTTTGTGTGATCTAGGCGGAGCTTTGGGGCTACTCCTTGGTTCAACTTTTCTGACTGTGTTTGAAATTTTTGAGTTAATCTGGGACCTAGTTGTTTATTTTGTAGTGAAAATGAAGGAAAAATATCGAAATAAGATGGTATGGGTTGTGAAAAGATTTTAGGCAGCGATGCTTACAATTGATCCTCTAATACATTTCAATATTTCTCAAAAGTTTTAAACATATTAAAAACGTGAATAATGTATCTTAAATTTTTTTAATTAAATGGAATCAAATATCAAAATTCAATAAATTATTTACAATAACTTCAAGAAATATATGCTATGAGTTAGAAAGTAATTATTTAACCGACTTTAACGATATTTTTCTTTCGAAATTTATGAACTGTTTGACAACTTTGAATAAATCATCACTAAAATTTTCTTTAAAAGATCTTCACATAATTATCACAAATTAACATTTATTAATTTAAATACATTAAAAAAGCATATCTCACAACATATTATTCATTTCAACAATTACATCAATCAAAGTTATATCAAAATTAGTAAGACTTATAACTCGAATCGAATCTATTGAGAACCTGATTATAAATAATAAAATATTTTAATTTTCAAATATTGAAAAGATTTAAAAAATGATTAATTGATTAAATAAATAAATAATAAACATTAATAAAACCGGTTCGTAGCAATGGTTACATTACATACAGAGATCTTGAAGGCAATTCAATTGCAACGTGTACTGCAAAGATGTAAGATTATTATTATTAGCAGATGGTCAAAAATTAAAATTCAATTCCACTGTCTTTAAATAATTGACATCATTAATTAACTCATCGCGTCATGAAAATATTTACAAAGATTTGAAACATACATACATTAACTTAAATTCAAGATGAAATATGGAAGTATTAGAGTATACAAAACCGAATGATTGAACTTACAGACAGGATCGAAAAAAATGAAATTTTCTTAAAATGAAAAAAGTTAAAAAAGGCGAAAAATATAGGGAAGAAGAAACGTTTAAAATGTTTGACAAACAAGATAAAAAGCCAAATTATTCAATCACTTACAATATTCAAACAATTATTTTTAATCAATACCTATATAATTCTGTCTCATATATTTTTGTGTAGAACATGAAGGTCTCAAAATTTTGAAAATCTTCTAAATCTACAACGATCTTCTTGGTACATTAAATGTTATTTTTAGGTTTATCATACTTTTTTTTCTTAAAAAATATTCACCCGTGAGAGGAAGATTTGTTTTAATTATTTAATTAATTATTCAATTAATTATTTAATTAATTCAATTAGTCGTTTTAATCATATTTTCGAGTGCTGATTGAACTATAGCGAAATGGCGATGACTGCAAATTTAATTAATTGGATAATTGCTTAATCAAATGAGACGCGATTGCGTATATCATGTGATTTGTTGCATGGTGATCCAATTAATGATGGTGAAGATGATGAAGATGATAAGGATGATGAGGAAGAAAAAGATGATGAAGGACGCGGTTATTGTAATGATTGTGTCAATATGCAGTGATGATGGCTATTAAGCGAAATGGTGATTTCGATCAAATGTTCTCACGGCTAGAATGTTTGTAAGCTAGGCTTCCGATGTGACAATTTATACAGGTTAACATTTTCAAAATTAAAAAAGAAATAAAAAATGTTCACAAGATTAATTTAATTTTTGAAAAAGAAGAAAACCAGAAAATTTTTTTAAAGACGGCAAAATAAAATCCCAACCACCTGTTAACTATTTCAAGAGGAATTGAACCTAAATTTTTGACCCTTGAAATTTAATGAATAAATGCCCATCAAACAAAAGAAAAACACGGATGAATGAATGAATGAATGAATGAATGAATGAATGAATGAATGAATGAATAAATGAATGAACGAACGAAAGAACGAACGAATGAATGAATGAATGTGCCTGATTTTCAGGGCTGATAATTTTTCAAGGAATACAATAAACCTCCACTCAAAAATATAAATATATTTATACAATTGTATAAGTGGATCAGAAAAATAAAAAATTATATCAAAGAAAAAGAGAAAAATGAGAGAAAGAGGACGAAAACATGAAAAAAAAAGAGAGAAAAATCAGAACGAAACGAATCACACAAGTCAGAACAGTGAATGGAAGACACTAAAAATCATCAAACAAGTTCATTACTCGACTGTCATGAATGGCATTTTAATTTGTTCATTTCAAATGGTATAAATTTGTTTTATTTTTTAAAAGATGCTAAGTATGATAGAGGCAATATTATAGAGACAGTCAGATCACAAACTTCTTACTATCTCTTTTGATTGATTGGAAACATTGAACGAAACCTCAGAAGAAATATAAATAAAAAAATTGGCACACACAAAGGAAGTGCTTTCTGGCACGGATATGTTTGAAGAAACAAAATTCGGACGAAAAAATCTCACAAAATTAAAAAAATTATACAAAATCTAAATAAACATTTTAATCAGGAAAATTAAACGCCTAAAAAACGTCATCATCAGCTGCTTCGAATGACCTTGAGTGACCCTTAATATTGTTGTATGTCGTTTTTTTGAACCTGCTGTCGTTGATGGATGTTTTTTGTGTTGTGCCATGCGCTGCCTGTGTTGTTGTTGGCGACGATGTTGCCGGGTTCAAGAAATAATAATTTGTCGGGTTGGAAAATTTTTTATCTCTGCGTTCGTAAATTTGCTGCTGCTTATTCACAAATTTTGAAGTGGTTGGAAAATTTGTTAACGACTGAACGTTGAGCTCTTGTAAGCACGAAGGGTTTTTTCCAGTATTTTCACGGAGTGGCCTCTTGTGGTGACCTTTGTTAGCGTGTGGCGATCGCTTCAAATCATTGTCATTAGTGTTGAAAAACTTGCCGACAACGTCGTTGTTGTTGTTGTCGTTGCTGCAGTCGTTGTTGACGTTATTGCTGAGAAGTTGAGCGGTTTCTTCAGTGTCCAATGCATCGTTGTGTGAGTAGTTGCTGAACTTTTTGCCGGCATTGTTGTTGCTGCTGCCGCTGAAATTGTGGTGGCTTCGAGTGTCGTGCCGCTTCTTGGGAGGTTTCTCTGCAAAAAAAATAAATAAGTCTAAGTTTTGTTTTTGTTATCATCATCGTCAACATGTTTTTATATTAACTCGTTTTAACATCATCAGTAAATATTTATATCCTAAGCTTCATCACTGCATAACAACTTAATAACATATCAACACCAAACAACAGCAGCGGCTTCAGCATCTTTAGTACGAACAACAACACAGCAGAACATCGAAGGCACAATCTCGTTGAGCAAAATGCAATTTATCAAAAAATGTCTTTCATCTACCTAGTCGACCGGACCAAGAACATCCTGAATAATTTTCTACAGTAAAGTCACGTACGACAAAAATACCCACATACAATGAATAACATACAGTGTACAACAACATACAACAATCAACAATGTACAACATACAACAATGTATGACATACAGTGTACAACAACATACAACAAACAACAATGCATAACATACAACAATGCATCACATACACACAAAAAGTACAGCTCAACACACCCAAAGACACTTTCGTTACGAATAAAATTTTATAGCATTCGTACAACCCATATAATAAGCATTACTGTCACACGGATACACACACACACAGATACAATAAGCACACACACACATATACATGCGCACACTCAACATTTGCAAGACCCAAAATGCATCCATCCATTGCATGTACAACCCACATATGTCACTTACTGTTAAATAAATGCGGCACATATGTTACACACAACATAAGCATTGATTAAAAATCTTGTACAACAGACACAAATACAAAATTGTACCGCCCACACAACGAAAACTACATCTGAGCTATATGAAGCAAAAAAAAACCAAAATATGAACAAACACTACTAAAGCGATACCACTACTACTACTGATGCTGCTACTACCATTACTACTTTTGTTGCTGCTGCGACTGCTACTACTACAACAGCAACAGCAGCAACGACACTGAGACAACTACAACAACGAGACGAGATTGTAGAATGAGATTCATGCATGCAATCTGCCCTCGAAACAATGCGTCAGAGTGGAAAGGCTGAGCTTGTCAAACGTGTGGCTAATTAATGAACTTCTATAATTTATTACATCAAATTGGTCACAAGCAAAGTTTTTGCGGAGTGAAAAACAAAAAAAGAAGAAACTTTAAAGTTTAAAAAGTGGAGTTTTGAAAAAATTCAAACTCGAGAATATTTTATACGGAACACTTCGCAATCGTGTTGTCAGTATTTTTGTCTTCTTTTTTAAAGTTTTTTAATTTGAATGAACTCAATAATTAGATAAATAGATTGAATTTGGCTAAAATCAGTGATATGAACAATTAAATTTTTTGAAAACATTATCATAAATTGTGCACATTATCATAAATTATGCACATACATTAAGCAGACTCTTGCATGTTGGACAGTAAATTTAGCAGCAAGGCACGAAACAAACAATCAGCATGTCCTTACTGTGGCTTGTTTGTTGGTTGGCTTCAATGCGACCAACCATAAAATAGCCAGTATCTGATCGTTTATGTTGCTGTTGGTGTGTTTGCTGGTTTGTTTGTTTGTTTGTTGTTGTTGGTTATGTCTGTTGTTGTTGTTGGTTGTGGTTTGTTGTTGTTGGTGGTGGTGGTTTGTTAGTTGTGGTTGTTGTTATGCTGTTGTTTAAAAATAATTGTTTTTGTTTGTTGTTTCAACTTTCTGGTTTGCAGTTTTCTTCTTCATTTGTTCGATGGTCGGCTGGTTGGTTTGTACTTTGTTTTTGCTGTTTAACTCTGTGTTATGTTGGCTATCTTTGTATTTTATGGGGAATATTATTCTAAAAAAATTTGGAGATGCATTATGTTAATTCACTCTTAATTCACCCGTAGCATTTTCATTTGCATGCTTATCTGCATTTTGTTTTTTGATTTTTTTTTCTCAAAATGCTTTCAAAAATTAACTTTTCTGAAAAAAATTAACAAATGCAGCAAATCTTTTGATAAAGCTTAAAACAATTCAAATTAAAGTAGTCAAACCAAAAATAGTTTTTAAATTTAAAAAATTTCTGACGTTATGAAAAATTTTGAGGTCCATAAATACGAGGACATGGTGTTTAATGCTCAAGCCCAGTCTCCATGCCAACATCCGTTCGTCCATAAAATGTAAAAATATTAATAAATAATAAATCTCGGTAATAAAATTTCTGCTTCAATTATTCAACCATATTGTGAATGTATGTGCGCGTCTGTGAGCTCAAATATATACGATGAGATACTTCGTAAGGCACATAAAGCATGCAAAAGTTTCATCAATGTCTGCCTTTCTTTATAGCCGTCCACCGCATCTAATTAACTTGAAGTCCATTATGAAATTTAATTGGAAGGATATTGCATCACGTCATCATGAAGTTGACTTTTTCCCATCTTAGTGAAATTGAATCGTGGTCCCATGACGTCCGTTCCAATTCACTTCTACCAAAATTATTAATTCGATTTTATTTAATAGCTGGAAAACATAAAAACCGGCTGATAAAATGATGAAAGGAAAGAATAGATGAATAAATAAACAAATAAATAAACCATTTTTGTCTTTTTATATTTTTATTTTAAAAATGCAATTTAAACTTAAAAATTTGTTTTGCTTTGTTGATCAATAATGCAAACTTTCAGAAACTTTTCTTATGCATTCGCCATTTGAAGAGAGGTCGTGGGGGTTTGAACGCGGAACATTCACTTTTGATTGATGACTATGCTACTTAGTTCGTCTCAAACCTTTCCACTCCGAGTTTGTTTGAAAAAATTTATTTTTAGAAAATATTTTTGTTTGAAAAAATGTTTTTTTCATTATTTTCATCAATTCACGGCAATTATAAATATGTATTCAGACGTGTAGATAAGAGATTATGCGTAGAGCCAGCACTGGCGATCCGTATTGAAACAAACATGTGCAAACAAACTTTAATTCTGAATGCATCATGTTTAGGCGAGAGATATGCATCACATTGCATATAAATACAACGGACATGTTTGTGTGCTTTGTAACTGTGTTAACAAATGGTCGATACATTTCTGACATGAAAGAAAAGAAAAGAAAAATACGATAACCCCAAATGTAGGCGCGATCGAGTAAAAATTGTTTGCACAAACTGAAGAACGCATCTGTTAGCCATATCTGCTTTGCAATGTAAAAAAATTTCAATTTGACAGAGTAAGGAAGAAGAAACGAGGTGACGTTAAGTTGGAGATGGTGCGTGCAAGCTGGCGTGTACGCCATCTTTATTGCAGTTTGTTTCCTTCGCGCATTTGTAGCGGGTCTGCACAGCACATGTGTCCGGAGCAGCACAACCGCACTAACATGCTGCTGATGTAAAATGGAAAAAAATAATCATTTGGATGTGTGCCTGTGCATGTTTAAAATAGATTTTTTTATACTGAATATTCCTACAAAAGTTTTTCATAGATAAATGAAAAAACGAATGAATATTTATTAACTGAAACAGATTTGTAATTTTTATCTTTCTAAAACACAGAGACCGAATAAAATAGTGACCTACCGTGAGTCCTGGAGATCCACTTGGATGTGGCCCAGCGAACTGTCGCTCTGCAGTGTGCCGGTATTGAACTCAACTCGTTGTCCTTCGTCATGCGGTTAAAAATATTATTACATTCCTGCTCTAACTATTTTAAATTAATTTAAATAGAAAATATTCAATCTAATCTGAAAACCCGAAAAATAAATTCGATTTAGCACAATAAATACCAGAACAAGAAAATATTAATCTAGAGTGCCCAAAACACTGAACATGATATATTGAATGCAATTAGGAAAGTTCGCAGGCCAAACAATAGCAAATATGAGGTCAAAAGCAGGACATGCAAGCGTGGGTTGCTTTAAAGTATGTATCTACGCATAAACATTTATTCTAGAAATCATTTAATCCTGCCAATGATTCAAGAGTACAATGTACATGATTGAGCTTATTTAATTTGTTTAATCACCTGATGGCACCTGCCGTTTCTCATTAATTTCATCATGTATTGTTTGTATATAATGATATGAAACACGCAAGCAAGACAATGATGAATGTATGGCACAATTTGTTTGCTGCTGGATTTATATTCGCGGTGTTGCTTTGCATTTATGATTTGATAAGTAATAAAAAACGAACTTGATCTGGATTGAAGAGGTCGAGAGAGGGCGGGCAGTAATGGTCGAGGTGCGAAGTTGATGAAGGCGTCGTCGCAAGTTTCAAAAGTGGAGGAAATATGATTTGCTGTTCATCTTTGAAATGTGGCTGCTGGTGTTGCTGCTGCTGCTGTTGGTGTTGTTGGTGTTGTTGTTGCTGCTGTTGGTGTTGTTGGTGTTGTTGCTGGTGTTGGTGTTGCTGCCTTTGCTTAACAATATCGTAGTTGTACTCGTCATCTTTGTTATCTGGAAAGTCATTGGACGTGTCGACAACAGTTACACTTACTTGGTTGTCCGAGTTTGATTCGGGCACTTTGGCATCGTCGGTTAATTGGTTGAAATCTTCAAATTGATTACTGGAACCGTGTCGAACAGAATGATCGTTATTATTTAAAATTCTACTGTCAGAAGCTGAAGAATATTTTCGACCACTTGTGACCGATGAAGCCGCTGCCAGTGCTGCATAACTTTCGTTACGTTTTGCCCGCTCAACGGCTTCTTTTCTTTTTTGAATTTTCTCTTTGCGCATCTGTTCTTTGTAATACCCGGCGAAATTACTTACAATTATTGGTATGGGTAAGGCAATGACCAAGACACCACTGACGCAACAAGCGGCACCGACCAACTTGCCCCACGGAGTCCTCGGATACACGTCACCGTAACCAACTGTTGTCATGGTGATAGCTGCCCACCAGAATGCTCCTGGAATGCTAGTGTAGACGGTGTCCTTTTCGTCTTTTTCGGCAAAATAAGCTAAACTTGAAAAAACCAAAATTGAAATAGCTAAAAACATAACCAGCAAACCTAGCTCTTTATAACTTTGCTGTAAAGTGTAACCCAAAGATTGTAGACCCGTCGAGTGCCGAGCCAGTTTAAGTATTCGTAATATTCGCATGATTCGAAACACCTGTACAACTTTTCTGACGTCGTGGATTTGTTCCGAGCCTTCACTCGATTCGCCTAAGAACAGTGACACGTAGTAGGGTAGAATGGCGAGAATGTCGATAATATTCAGCGTTCCTTTGAAAAACTTGCACTTGCTTGGTGACGACCAGAGACGAACGGTGAACTCCAGAGTGAACCAGGCAATGCATATTGTTTCCAACATCAGCAGGTGGCCGTTGTCCACCGGGTGACCTTCCTCGTTCTTCCACTGGATGGTCGGTAGTGTGTTGATGGTCAGCCCGATCGTTGAGGCCACTACAAACAAGATTGACACTATCGCTACAACCTGACAGGTGATGGTGGTGTCGTTACTTTGAAATAATTCCACCAAATGTTTATGTATGTGAATACATATCATGGAAACAATAACGAACAGTGAAATAGTTGGAAATAACTGGCATTCAGTTTGAAAATATTAAATACCATCTTTAAGAATGACGAAGAAAAAGAAATGTAACATCTAATCAAATTCTTGTCAGCGCATCAAAATAAAAATCTCGTATATACGCAACTCGTACAACAAAAAACGCATGTGTTTTAAATATGAAAGTACGTATGGTATCATACATTTAATAGTATGCAACGAGCTCTGTAGTTTTCTCGGGATATGCATACATGTAACTGTACATGAGTGTGTGCAAGTGTACACGTGTGTATGGATGTTTGTATGCATTGTTGTTTGTGTGTAAATTTTTGTATTGTATATGTCTGTTCTTTTTGTACAATTGTATGCTTTTGTGTTTATAAAAATGTACAAAGAAGTCATGCATAGCGATGTACGCAAATATGTGTACGTATGTGTGTGTACATTTTTGAGTATAGATATGTGTGTGTGTACTGCGTGTATGTTGGTGTATGTGGTGTATGTACGAATAAATAAATATGAACTTCTTGTTGTCTGTTGTTGTCTATTCGGCTCCAAATAAGCCCTATTCTAGTGACAATTAATTGCTGTACCGTCCATGCCTTGCCTGTCGATGAAATGTTATTCTTCTGTTTAGTTGGATGTATGTAGTCGTATTCAGATTGTTGTTTTAGGATTGTTTCTGTTTGAATTTTTTAGTTGTATCTCTTTATGTCCTTGACTCCAAACATCAAACCATGGTTCAAAAAACATTACTTAGCACAATTTTTTAAATATATTACATAAAGGTTTTTAGCTTGGGTTTGGTTTTATATAGATACATTCAAGTTTTGGCTGCAGTTACAATTTATAAGAACGTTGTTAGGTTTTACTAACTCGATTTTATTGGTCGCAGATGCGAAAATTGTGTTTTTTTTCTTGCTGCAAAATAATGTGACTGACTCATTAACATTAAATAGTGCTAATAACAAAATGCTTATTTGTCATCATATATCATGTAATTACTTCAATTTCAAGGCTATTTTTAATGAAAAGATCATTATTTTCTGAAAATTTTAATGAAATTAAAAACATCGATGAAATATTTATGTACAAATTGTTAAACCAGGAGGAAAATTTCAACGTTATGTAAAAAAATTAGTACATGTATCAACATCAAGTAACATCAAGTAACATATGTATATTACAAATATTAAAAACTTTTATAAAAAAATTTTCATTGAAAGTATTAACCAAAAAAAATGGCAGTGCAAACGAAAAAGAAAATTGAATTATTAATCCATCTCTAATGGACATCGAAGCTGGTGCTAATTATTTCTAATGTATTTCACGCACTCCTAATTAAACCACACTGAAACATTAGAGCATGCAGTAGTAGTGAATAATTAACTAACACACCGGCCAGCTAATGACGAAAAAAAAATGATCGACATTCCATCAAACGAATAAATGAAAAATCGGAAAAATTCGAACTGGAGGCAGTGCATGTCTGAAAGTCGTAAAACGCATCGCTGGATGATACCATTCACGTCACTAAAATATTATCAATGGCCCATAAGCACTCGATTACCATAAATATATAAAAACATTTATAGCGCTGCATTGATTCCACTGCTGGCTGAAACGAAGAAAAAACAAATTCTATGTTGTGTGATTTTTGTTGATGTTATTTGGTTAATGTCATTTTTTTTGTTGGTGTATTCAAAACTTCCATTTTAAAAATTTTCAATATTTATGCTCCGTTTCGAGCACGGCGCACTCAATAATTGAGTTAGAAAAAATTAGACGGTGGGTAGCAGCAATATTTGAGAATCTATGAAGATTGCCTTAATCTGAATTTTTACCGTACAGTGTGGCAAACATTTGCGTTTGGTTTCAAGTAGACAATATTATCGACCTCTAAAGGAAGATTTGTTATCAATGCAAAAACTTATAGCCCCAGAAATAGTATTTAAATCAATTCTTTTCGACTTTGCTTCTCTTATCAACATTTTTCCTAATCCATTGACCAAAAGACTGGGATCATTTACACGTGTAAATCCTTTATATTGAATTATTTTTAATTTAAGAATAAATTTTTATTGTATTATTTTTCAATAATTAATTATTTAAATTAAAAAATATACCAACTTTGTTGCTAAGCTAACCAAGCTAATATAATTATCAGAGAAAATGTTGGAGCCAGCCGAAACGTATGTTGCTTGCGGTCCATCAAATTTACAGATGGCATCATCACAAGTAACAGCCACGCCAACGACAGCTTCAACTACTAACTCAACAAATTCGGCAGCAGTGTCGTCAACTATTTCACTCAGAAAACCCCAAAAATCAAGAAACTTTTCAGACCTGTATGCAAAATTTAAATCATACAAAAGAGCGAGAGGTAATGTTTTTATGAAACATCGAAGCAACAACACTGAAAACAACGACTACCAGGGCAACTTCTTCAGTAGCAGCAGCAACCATGATATCCACAACAATTTCAGCAGCATGTTGAATGAAAGTGGAAATGATGATTTCTACCTGGAAGCGAGAATCCTCGATACAATTGATGAAATTTCCATTATTGGGTGGGAAGCATTTTAGTAATATTTTGACAGTGATTATTTATAATTTTTAATTATTGAATTGTTGCTAAAATTCAGTTTTCGCCATTGCGTCGACACCAATCGCTCCCTGTTGAACAGACTCATGTGGACCAGCCTCATCCTCACAGGATTCATTCTGGCAGTTTACCAGATCAACGATCGCATCGTCCATTACTTCTACTACCCAACCAGCGCAGAGATCGACGTCGTCCCATCGCAAAATATGACCTTCCCACGCGTCACTGTCTGCAATGACAACTACATCAAATATTCAAGCGCCGAAGCATTAGGTTGGCTTTATTAATATTTTCTATTTCTTCAAAGTTTTTTGAGTTTCAAATTAATTTTTTTTAAATTAGTCATTTCAATTCAATTGTTTTCTTCTGAATGTAATTTTATCATACTGTAAAACATTGAATATTTCACAAAACTTTCAACCGTTCAAACAACACGCGACAACTGGAAGGCCTGGTGGAATATTACAAACAGTTTATGAGTCCGTTTGTCGTTGGTCCTGTCAATGAGAGCAAGATGGTCATCAACATTCCAACTCTGACCAACGCATCAGAAGTCATTGAAAAGAGGAAGTTTCTGTCGCCAGGGATGGAGCAAATGATACTCGTGAGAAATTTTCATATACCTTTGTTTGTTTGTTTGTTTGTTTGTTTGCGCCAGAATGGAAAAATTCGTTGGTAGTTGGTTATAAATCTTTTTGGCTGTGCATACGTATAAACAATTAGGTTTTCTCAAATTCCTATTATGGCATATTTAAATGGAACCCAAATCTTTTGCAGTGTTACTGGAATGGCTCACCGTGTCCTGATAATTTCGTGGACATGGAGTTCACCAACCTCGGACAGTGTCTCTACATCAGCCCAAGTGATATGCTGTGTATAAATAAATAGGGGCGTTCTATTAGCAATCTTTATAATGATAAACAACTGAGAAGCATTAAGCTAAATTGTAACAAAAATTTAAAAAAAATTAGTTTTAATTTATATTAAGTTGTGCTACTTTGTTTACTAAAATCTTTTAATAGGAAAAAGACATTTTTATGTGACCCGTCCTGGAGCCATGTTGGGAATAATGTTTATCCTGGATGCTAATCAGTCTGAGTATTTCATACAACCAAGTACTTCGGCTGGTTACAGGGTAATGTCAACCAATTTTTTTCAAATAATTTGTTTGGTTCAATTTTTCTAGAAACTTCTAAAGAATGAATCACAAAAGCCAAATGAGTAATGGAAGCTTAACAACGAAGTGACGTGTCGATGTTGTATTTGTTCAGGTCTTGCTGCACGAACCTAATGAACCACCCCGCATGATGGAGTTAGGGTTCAAAGTTCACCTAGGTCAATCCATCAACCTCGCTATATCCGTTACTAACGTTTGTTTTTGTGCAAATATTTCCTTGTATAAATTGTTTTTTAAACATCTATGCGTTTTTTGTTAACATAGTTGGAACATTTTCTGACAGATATCGAGACAGAAACCTCCGTACGGATCGTGCACTGATGAAGAAGATTACAACCAGGTGGATTGCCAGTGGAAGTGCCTCAATAAGGAGATCGTCAAAAATTGTAGCTGCAGACCTATTTATATGAAAGGTTCATATTTCACAACTTTGATAAATTATAAATTTAAAAATATAGAAAAACATGTGTTCAACATTTTTCAAACTGAAAGCTATCGGCAATGAAAACGTGTGCGATTATTACGAAGAAAGAAAGTGCGCTGACGTTGTTATAGACGACTTCTACCTTAAAAAATCAAGTGGAGACATTTTTTGCAACTGTCCCCCTGCTTGCAATGAAATAACTTACCAGACCTCCGTCACTGGATCTAACTTTGGACAAAATTTCGTGGAATATTTAACTAAAGTTTTTTCGCACTCTTACGAGCATGTTATGGAGAACCAAATATTCTTATATATTTACTTAAGCAGCATGCAGTACACAAAGCTGGTGACAACGGAAGAATATTCAGTGATGTCACTATTGAGCGATCTTGGTGGAGCACTCGGACTCATCTTGGGTTCAACTTTTCTTACAGTTATAGAAATCGTTGAATTGTTCATTGATTTCATCGTTTATGGCTACGCTAAGAGGAATGAGTATGTGGACAAGAACAGGGGGAAGAAAAGTTTTTATGAAAAGGCAGGCAGATTTTTCAGGGCAACGGTAAAAAAGTTTGAGAAGCGAACCAAGAGTAAAGAAAAAATAGAGCCGTATGTTGTATACGTTGAATAGACGGTTGGAGCATGTACCGTACACACACACGGTATGCCACCCCAGACGGTTTAAAAATCAATATAAATGTCAACAAATGTTTATG